AGAGTTTGTTATACCTTCTAGAAGCTAACAGATCAAACAGGAAAGAAAAAAGTAAGGATACAGTGGATAAGAATTAGAGAATTAATAAACCTGTGTAGTCAGATCTCTGATCTCAACAATCAGAATGCACATCCTTTAAAAACATACAGAACACTTCCAAAACAAAACAAAACACCCACATACTAGGTCAAAAGGGAAATTTCAGCACATTCCTAAGAATTTATATCGTTTAGAACATGTTCATTGAATAAAATTAACAATCACAAAAAGATAATCAAGGAAAAATCCAAGTACTCAGATGTTCAAAAATATATCTCTAAATAATTTGGGGGTTAATTGGGGCACTTGGGTGGCTCAGTGGTTGGGCATCTGCCTTCAGCTCAGGATGTGATCCCAGAGTTGTGGGATCTAGTCCTGCATTGGGCTCCTGCATCGAGCCTGCTTCTCCTCCGTCTGCCTATGTCTCTCATGATTAAATAAATAAATTCTTTTTTTTAATTTACTTATTCATGAGAGACACAGAGAGAGAGAGAGAGGCAGAGACACAAGCAGAGAGAGAAGCAGGCTCCATGCAGGGAGCCCCATGAGGGAAATTATCCCAGGACCCCAGGATCACGCCCTGGGGCAAAGGCATGCACTAAACCGCTGAGCCAACCAGGCGTCCCAATAAATTCTTTTTTAAAAAAATTTGGGGGGGGGGGTTTAATCAGCATTACATTTTAGGGGAACCAAATGACAAAGAAAATACCACGTATCAAAACCTGGAGTATACAGAATAAGAAAATAAACACTAAAATGGGAGGCAGAGGGTGTGGTGAATGAATCAACAAAGCAGAAATGGGGCGCCTGCGTGGCTCAGTGGTTAAGCTCTGCCTTGGGCTCAGGTCATGATCCCAAGATCCTGGGATGAGGCCTGGAGTCAGGCTCCCTGCTCAGTGCTTCTCCCTCTGTTCCTCCTCCTCCCTCTACTCCTACCCTAACCCCCCCCCCACACACACACACACACTGGCACTGGATCTCTGTGAAATAAATAAAATCTTTTTTTAAAAGGCAGAAATAAATGAAATAAAATCCCCCCTCCTGAGAAAAGAAGCAGGGGAGATTATCAGTAAACAAAAAACTGTTTTTTTTTCTTTTAAGACTGATAAAACTATAAAATTTGGGGCAACTTTAGGGAAAAAAAAAGAGAGAAAGAGCCAACAAATACCAGGAAAACCAAAGGAAATACAACTTCAGATGCAAATGAATCATTAAAAAAATAAATAACATGTATAAAGTTATGCCAATGAACCTGAAATCCTAGATAAGATGGAGATTGTTCAAGGCAAATATACATTACAAAAATTTAGGGACATCAGGGTGGCTCAGGAGTTGAGCCCTTGGCTCAGGGAGTGATCCTGGAGTCCCAGGATTGAGTCACACATCAGGCTCCCTGCGAGGAGCCTGCTTCTCCCTCTGCCTGTCTCTGTGTCTCTCATGAATAAATAAATAAAAATATTTTAGAAATTACAAAAATGTATTCCAGGAGAAAGTAATAAATCTGAATAAAACAACATCCACAGAAGAAGTTGAAATTACAAAGACCTACCAAAAAGGCACCACACATGGATGAACTTACAGTCAAGTTCCACCAAATGTTCAAAGAGCAGATAACTCCAATATATCACAAGCCATTCCTGATGGCAGAATAAGATAGATGGTTCCCTCAAATCATAGAACAGGGCTAACATCCCCCTAACGTCAAAACTGAGCAAGGACAGCAAAAGAAAGAAAACCTTGGGCCAATTCCTTGGGCACCTGGATGGCTCAGTGGTCGAGCATCTGCCTTCGGCTCAGGTCGTGACCCCAGGGTCCTGGGATCAAGTCCTGCATCAGGCTCCCTGTAGGACTCTATGTCTCTATGTCTCTGCCTCTCTCTGTGTGTCCCTCATGAAAAAATAAATAAAATCTAAGAAAGAAAGGAAATCATGGGCCAATTCCATTCTGAAAACAAATGCAAAACAACCCTAAATTAAATATTGTTAAAAGTCTGGAACAAGGGGCACCTGGGTGGCTCAGTGGTTAAGAATATGCCTTTGGCTCAGGTCGTGATCCCAGGGTCCTAGGATTCTGCCTGCATTGGGCTCCCCACAGGGAGCCCGCTTCTCTCTCTGCCTGTGTCTCTGTCTCTCGCTGTCTCTCATGAATAAGTAAATAAAATCTTAAAAAAAAAAAGTCTGGAACAAGACAAGGATTGTTCATTATTGTCGCTATGAGTAACATTGTATTGGAACTCTTAGCCAAAGAGGAAGGGGGGGGGGGATGAGTTATAAAAGATTGGGAAGACTAAACTGTCATTTTGTTACCACAACAGGATCATCTAGCCAGGGAAGTATGGAGAATTAGCTGTCAAGCTTTTCTAAAACAAGTAAGAGTGAATTCATCAAGGTAGCCAGATCCAAGATTAGCAGTAAAAACACAACAGCAGTAACTGATTAGAAGAAAAAAAATCCAAGTCATAAATAAATAAGTAAAAACAGCAGAGTCCCAGTGGGTGAACCAGAGAATATACAAGATATCCCAGGAGAAAATTATGCCTGTGTCCAAGATGGAAAACTCAAAATCATGAATTCTCCTCAAATTAATAATTTATTCATTACAATCTCAACCAAAATCCAAAGTATTTGTTATGGAATTGACAAATTCTGGCACGCCTGGGTGGCTCAGTGGTTGAGCATCTGCCTTTGGCTCAGGTCATGATCCCAGGGTCCTGGGATCGAGTCCTGCAACGGGCTCCCTGCATGGAGCCTGCTTCTCCCTCTGCCTATGTCTCTGTGCCTCTCTGTGTGTCTCTTATGAATAAATAAATAAAATCTTAAAAAAAAAAAGGAATTGACAAGCTCCATCCTACTCCCCATTACAACGGCAGCACCCACCACGTTTAGAATCGAGACGGGTCCCCTTGCTCACCCAAGTCTAGGCATCCATTTGGAAACCACCTGTTCTGCTGCCCACCTGCCTCTCTCTGATTTGAATCAACTCATAAGCAATTGATAAAGAGTAACAAAGTCAGCCTAACACAAGCATGTTGGCTTTAATATACCATTTTCTCCAGGAAGTTAATATTTTGAAGCCATCAGGGGCAAGCTTTCTCACAGTTAAAGGAGAAGCCTTAGTGATCAAAGAAGATCTTCACAAAAAGCTCCGAATCTGCACAACTGTCTTCCTTTATATCCTCCGTGGCGCATTTTGGTGGTTTCAAAAGCCATAATGCTTGCTGCAATGTGATGGTATGTGGCAAAGCCGTGATCGCAGAGGAAGAAATTACAATATCTTCTCATATCAAATGACAGATGAATGAAGATGACACCTTAAATCAGATTTTTAATTTGGATGGAAATGGTCTCCATTAGTAATTAATATCTCCAAACCAGCATCTCTAAAAGGGAAGCCTAAGCCCCAGCCTTCCAGACTACAAAAATGGGAATGAAAGGGTTGCTAAGTGGGAATATATGTGGAAATTCAACTGTGCTGGTATGTCTATCAGAATCCTTGGGGGATCCCTGGGTGGCTCCGCGGTTTAGCGCCTGCCTTCAGCCCAGGGCGCAATCCTGGAGTCCCGGGACCGAGTCCCGCGTTGGGCTCCCGGCATGGAGCCTGCTTCTCCCTCTGCCTGTGTCTCTGCCTCTCCCTTTCTCTGTGTCTATCATGAATAAATAAATAAATCTTAAAAAAAAAAAAAAAGAATCCTTGGGGGATCCCTGGGTCGCTCTGCGGTTTGGCGCCTGGTGCCTGCCTTTGGCCCGGGGTGTGATTCTGGGGTCCCGGAATCGAGTCCCACATCGGGCTCCCTGCATGGAGCCTGCTTCTCTCTCTGGGTGTGTGTCTCTCATGAATAAATAATTAAAATCTAAAAAAAAAAAAAGAATCCTTATTGGTTTCATAGTGCTCTGATTATAAAGTAGCCTACGTTTTGAGTAATCTGTGCCTGGTTTTATAGCCTTGTTATTTTAGAACAATTGTTTTGTAGAACTCCAAGTTTTTTCAGGAATGCATGTATCACGGCTGAACCGCCTATACTCGGAATAAGGAGGGACTCTGTCTTCCAACAAGCATTCTTAGGACATAGGTCCTAAGTTTCCCTGTCCTGTAGCCAGGAGACCAGGTACCCACTTCCCTCTCAGAGCGGAACCACCTCCCAGGAGCCAGGGTGGGGTTAAGGGTGGGTGGGGGGTTAGTTCTCTGGAGCCTGGAACCAGAGCCCATCATAGCTCCTCTCTTCTCTCTTCCTTCCAGACCTCTGGACCGCTCAGGAGAAACAGCGTGAAAAGGCCCAGAATTTTGCCGCTTCCAGGCTTTCAGATCTTGAACCAGTCACTGAACCTCTGCAGGACTCAGTTTCCTCATTCTTGAAATGGGAAGGCAGTGTTTTGTTTTGAAATCATGTTTAATTTTAAAAATCTGCCTTTGACTCTTGCTTTGCCATTTATGTATCTGTGACCTTGGACCAGATGGACTTTGCTTCTCACGGTGGCATCTGTAAAATGGGGTCTTTGCGAGAATTTAATGCCCCGCGTGCAAAGCACTTAGCACAAGATGTGCATCAAGCCCCAATAAACTGAAGTTCCTGTTCTGGGAGGGCGGGGAATCTCAAGGGTACGAGTTTTGACCGCTGAGGCAGAAGAACCCAGTGCTGGTGGGGAAAGACATACATGGCTGTGATTTCCCGACCGACAGTAAGCACTCCTGCCAGCCGGGTCTGCCCCGCTGAGGCCTGGGCTTCGGCCGGACCCCCTAGCTTGCAAGAGCCACCAACCCGCTTCCAGCGTTTGGGGCCGCCTCCCGCCGCGCGGGTCCGAGGACGGACTACATTTCCCGGCGTGCACCTCGGGTCGGAACCCCGAGGGGCCGGCCGGCTAAGGGGACCTGTCCCAGCCGCGCTGAGGCTGGAGGCAGTAACCATCACTCAGGCAGCTCCTCTATTTCGCTTTGCGAAGCCAGTCAGCCACCGTCAACCCCACCTTGAGCCGCGGACCCGCAGGGTCTGTGAGGAGCGCTTGGTCCCCTCTTTTCCTCCTCCAGGCGTCCGGCCCACCGGGTCCCAGGGTCCGAGGCCAGGCTTATCTCCCCGGGAGGAATCCTTCGGCCCCGCGGGGTCCTCACTGCGGCCCGAGGCTGGCAGCAGGGCCCCGAGGGCTAGGGGACAAGCCTAGAGGCCGCGCAGCTGGAGACTACAACTCCCAGGCGGCACCGCGGCGGCGGCAGCGGCGGCGGCGGCGATCACGTCACTCAGGCACCGCCGGCGGCCCCGGGAAGCGGCGCGGGCGGGGGCAGGGCTGGGGCCGACCGGGAGGCCGGTGCTGAGGATGGGGGCTGCCCGGCCGCCCCGCGCGTGAGAAGGCCGAGGGGCGCGCCACCCCGTTCCGGGGCGGGCGCCCCCCGGGCCCTGCCACCCCCACCCCGCCCGGCTGTCGTGGCCCGGGATGCGGAGCCGGGGGCCGCCGGTGGAGCTGCGCGGGGTGAGAGGCGCGGGGAAGGGGGCTGCCTGCTTCCCTCACCCTCGTCCCCCACCGGCGGGCCCCGGCAGGAATTCGGGAGCCGCGCGGCCCGGCCCTCTTAGCGCCCTGACGTTTGGGGGGGACAGGTGAACCCGCCGCCCTACCCGCACCCCGCCCCCCCCGGGCAGCTGAATCAGAGGGGACGACCCTGCCCTCTTAAGGAGGCTTTTTGTTGCTCCTGCGGAGGGCCCCCCGAGCCATGGCCACCAGGAGCCCCCTAGAACCTGCAGGGACTGCCCCCCATCCTGGCCGCCGGGGCCCGCCCTCTGTATCCCGCGGGCAGCCAGTGTGAAGCGGCCTCCCGCAGCCCCCGGCCCCTCCCCCATGGAGGAGGAGGAGGGGGGGACGGCCAAGGAGTGGGGCACGACCCCCACGGGGCCCGTCTGGACCGCGGTGTTCGACTACGAGGCGGCGGGCGATGAGGAGCTGACCCTGCGGAGGGGCGACCGCGTCCAGGTGCTTTCCCAGGACTGTGCGGTGTCGGGCGACGAGGGCTGGTGGACCGGGCAGCTACCCAGCGGCCGTGTGGGCGTCTTCCCCAGCAACTACGTAGCCCCCGGCGCTCCCGCCGCGCCCGCGGGCCTCCAGCTGCCCCAGGAGATCCCCTTCCACGAGCTGCAGCTAGAGGAGATCATCGGTGTAGGGGGCTTTGGCAAGGTCTACCGGGCCCTATGGCGCGGCGAGGAGGTGGCTGTCAAGGCCGCCCGGCTGGACCCTGAGCGGGACCCGGCAGTGACAGCAGAGCAGGTGCGCCAGGAGGCCCGGCTCTTCGGAGCCCTGAAGCACCCCAACATCATTGCCCTCAGAGGTGCCTGCCTCAGCCCCCCACACCTCTGCCTGGTGATGGAGTATGCCAGGGGGGGCGCACTGAGCAGGGTGCTGGCAGGCCGCCGGGTGCCCCCTCATGTGCTGGTCAACTGGGCTGTGCAGGTGGCCCGGGGCATGAACTACCTACACAATGATGCCCCCGTGCCCATCATCCACCGGGACCTCAAGTCCATCAACAGTAAGTGGTGTCCTCCCCCAAAAAAATTTGCTTCCACAGAATCTTGTGAGGTCAGGCATAGGTGGCGGGAAATGGGGACACCAGAAGACGCTGTCTAGGGCAAAAAGGGGCAGCAGTATGCCTCCAGGCCAAGTGAGGCAGGCTTGCCCATTAAGGGAGGAAAAGGAGGCTCAGAAAGGTTGAGGGACCACCTATCCCCCAGACTACAGAGTCATAGTAGCTCAATAAATATGTACCCATAACACTGTGACAGGCTCTGCACTCCTAGCATGAACAGCACAGATGCAGTGCCTGCCCTCATCAGTCCCTGATGCCAGCATCCACCAGGCAGAGTCAGAAAGAACCTAGCCTGGAGCAGGATTTCTCAGCCTTGGCACTATTTACATTTGGGTCCGGATGATCGTAGGAGGAGGCTGTCCTGTGTGGCTTCTACCGACCAGATGCCATTAGCATCTCCCACCTCCATCCCCAATTATAACCGAAACTTGTCTCCAGACATTGCCAAATGTCCTCTGGGTAGAGGGGGTAAAGCCGCCCCCACTTGAGAACCACTTCTTGGAGTCTTCCCAGGCCTCTCCTCCTGCTAGCTGAGGCAAAGTGGAGGTGAGAGAGGAGCAAAAGGGACTTGCTTTACGTAAAAATCTTCCAGGCTGCCTGGCTTACCACAGGCTCTCAAAAGTTGGTTGGCTGGTTGACTGGGAACTGGGGCCAGGTAGAAGGGAAAGGGTCCCCCAGGACCCACATCTAGATCAAGGAGCTTCTCGTGATGTTAGCATATATTAATTGAGCACTTATTTGCCCTTACAGTACTCCCAAATTAAAGATTTCATTCTTTTCCCCGCGTATTTCCCTAGCGCCTGTTGTGTGCCACACTCTGTCCCAGGTCCTAACTATATAATATACAAGGGAAAAATCCTGGCTCTCCCTTCCTTCCTCTGCCCCACCTCACTCCCTTTCATTTTTACATTTATGTATTCATTCTTTCTTTTATTATTTGGTGTTTCCTGGAGCAAGTCATATGGTAAGGGAGAGATCAACAGTGAATGGGGCCAGCACTTGCCCTCCCTGCCCTCACCTGAAATTTAAGGATTTCCCCTTTGCCCTCACATTTGGTCTCTCACCTCTCATCTATTTCTGATTCCTGTCAATTCCACATCTTGACATTTGTTGGAATCCATCCCGCTATTTTTGCAATTTTGTTGCTCTGCTCCCACCACCGCCACTAACTGCAAGCCCCTGGAGCAGACAGGTGAGCCTTCCTTACCTTCCAGGCCTTGCATTTGTACACTAACAGATCTGCCATGTGCTCAAGGTGTGCCAAGAGCTGTGCCAGGGCTGGAATTGAGCAAGAGGCACAGATGGTTCCTGCCTTCCCTCATGCTCTGAAATGCTGGGCAAATGGAGGCAGGACAGGCAGCATGCTCCTTTGAGGGCTGAGGTGCCTTCCTGGCCCTTTCTCACCCCTGCTGATTCACAGCCTGAAGGTGGGGTAAAAAGCGTTACACACCATGCCCCCAGGTTTTCCTGCAGCCAGTGCCACCTGGACACAGGGTGGTTGGGGCTTTTTAGGCCAGAGCTTCCTGTTCAGTCAATGGGGCAACCCTATGCCTGGGACAGGTCACAGGGCCCCCGCAGCACAGCTTCCTCCATCTTTCTCTAAGGAGCCCCTCACCTGGTATCACTCATACACTGGTGCACTCAACCAATATTTCTTAAGCAGAATTAAGTAACCAAGGCCCTGTCTCAAGCTCTGGGATTACAGAAGTGAACCAGGCAAGATCTCCCCATATGGAAATTACAGTCTAGTAAACGGAAGTAGATGATTGATATTTAGATAGGTAGGTAGAGGGATCCCTGGGTGGCGCAGCGGTTTGGCACCTGCCTTTGGCCCAGGGCGCGATCCTGGAGACCCGGGATCGAATCCCACGTCGGGCTTCCGGTGCATGGAGCCTGCTTCTCCCTCTGCCTGTGTCTCTGCCTCTCTCTCTCTCTCACTGTGTGCCTATCATAAATAAATAAAAAAAAATTAGATAGGTAGGTAGATAGATGACAGAGTTTCCAGAGAGTATTGGGGGCTCTGAAGGGAACAAAATAGATCAAAGATGAGGTGGAAGGAGCTTTTTCAATCAGATGGTCAGGGGAGGCAATACTGGAGCAGAGACTTGAACAAAGAAGACCCGGCCTTACAAAGGTTTGGACAGGGTGAAGGTCCTGAGGTAGGAATGAGCAGGCCTTGTTGAAGAAAAAGTGAGGAGACCAGAGGGGTTGGAAGAGGAGGAATGAGGCAGCAGTAGGAGATGAGGTCAGAAACATAGGCAGGGCCCAGATCATGGTGACCCTAGGGGCCATGATGAGGATTTGGGGTACCCCGCAAACAGGAGAGGTGGGGACCCAAGAAGGGAGGAATGGAGTCACATGCTAGAGAGTCAGGGAAGGCCTCTGGGCTGTGATGATAGTAGCATCACCTCACTGTTATGACTGGAGAAGCAGCAGAAGGAATGGTCAAAGATCCAGGTGGAGAAGTAAGTGCCAGTTATGGCAACATTATACACCAATAATAATAGCTAACATTTTGTAAGGACGTACTGTTGCTTCTGGCCATAAATCCTTCCTACAGTCCTCTAAGGTAAATAATACTATCATCTCCATTTAACAGAGGAGAAATCTTAGTGATAAGAAGAATACATTAATGAGGCTATTCAGTTAATAAGTAAGTGGCAGAGCTGGGATTCAAACCAAGGCAGGACACTGTACACCTTGGAGCCTCTGTTTGATAGAAGCTGATAGAATATCAGCAGTTAAGACATTGGCTCTCATGACGGATCTAGATCAGGTCTTTGCCCCACAGTTTTCTAGCTGCAGGATCTTAACCAAGGGACTTCTCTCTGAGCCTCAGTTTGTCCGTTGATAAAATAGTCTGCTTTCTAGTTAATTCATGTGAAGGGCTGAGCACAATGCTTGCCATTTAATAGGCTGCTGATAAACACCAGCCATGATTATAACTGTTGTTAGTAATAATCCCAGACGGCAAGTTGGGAGCACAATATGCTTGGGTGATATATCCGTCAGATTTGTCACAGTAATGCTGTGGAACAAGCCACCCCTAAAATGCAGTGTCTTAAAACTTGATGTCATTGATTATGGCTCACACACATACTGGAGGGTAAACTGTTTTAGGCTGGGTCCAGCCAGAAAGGCTTTACTCCCAATTATCTCCCCTCTACCTTGGACCAGCAGGCTAGCTCGAGTATGGTCTCCTGGTGGTGGCAGAAACACAAGAGGGCAGGTAGACATGTGAGGCCTCTTAAGGCCTCAGCTTGGAGCTGGCCTTCTGTCCCTTCTGCCTCATTCTGTTGTCTGTTGACCAAAGCAAGTCATATGGCCAACCCTAAGTAAAGCAGGGGGAAATACGCTCTGCCTCTTTCGAGGAAAGAAGTGCAAAGTCAAGTGGCAAAGAGTGTGATGATGCAGAAAGGAATAGAACTGGGGCCCCAAGGGATCCCTGGGTGGCGCAGCGGTTTGGCGCCTGCCTTTGGCCCAGGGCGCGATCCTGGAGACCCGGGATCGAATCCCACGTCGGGCTCCCGGCGCATGGAGCCTGCTTCTCCCTCTGCCTGTGTCTCTGCCTCTCTCTCTCTCTCTCTCTCTCTCTCTGTGACTATCATAAATAAATAAAAATTTAAAAAAAAAAAAAAAAAAAAAAAAAAAAAAGAACTGGGGCCCCAAATGCAGTTTGCCACGGGGTGACAAGGACAAAGGAGAGCCACATTCATACCTTGTGCTCGTGGTCAGTAGTCCCCACTGCTGGGGTGGCTGGGAAATCAAGCCTCTAGGAGAACCAAGGCTTTGGCTACCAACCTTTCAGTGAGCTCCCCAGAGCCCAGGGTGGAGTCATGAGGGTAGCAAACCAAGGGGAGGCCCCTCCCCCTTCCTGGGAGTGGGGGGCCAGGGGCAAGGCAGGGATTAGACCACATGGAAGGATTCCTAGTGTATCAGACAAGGAAAGGAGCTGCTGCAGAGGTGGGGAAGAGAACAAGTAGGTTCCAGCTGAGCCAGGGGCCAGGACACTTGGGTCTGCAGCGTGGAAGGTCTGAGGTGACCCACCTTTCTTCCTTCCCACAGTCCTTATTCTGGAGGCCATCGAGAACCACAACCTCGCAGACACGGTGCTCAAGATCACAGACTTCGGCCTCGCCCGTGAGTGGCACAAGACCACCAAAATGAGCGCTGCGGGGACTTATGCCTGGATGGCTCCAGAGGTTATCCGTCTCTCCCTCTTCTCCAAAAGCAGTGACGTCTGGAGGTGCTGATGGGGGGAGTTGGGGAGTCCTGGACGTGGGGGAGGGGCGAAGAAGGGGGTCAGAGTAGAAGGGATGGCCTCCCACTAAAGCTAGGATCCGGGCCTGACAAAGGGGCTCACTGGCAAGGTCAGGCTATCAAAGCACCAAAGCAGGTGTCTGCTCTGCTTACTAAAGTGGCAGCTGAGAAGGACTTGGATCTGAATGGAAAATTCCAAAGATGTAGAGATAGAGTGTCAGCACCAGGGCCCTCAGACACCACCCAGCACACCGCCCCACTTGTCAGCAGGAAACTGAGGCGTTTGGAGGCAGCCATTACGTCATCTATCTGTCCATCCATCCGTCTGTCCATCCATCCATCCATCCGGCCGTCTGCACTGGGTGCTAGGGATACAGCAGGAAATAAAAGTAAACACGTTTCCTGCCCACAGGGATAATAAATCAGCAAACACTGGAAAGCTGGGAAAATAGCTGGGTTTAAGTTAAAAAGTCATAGAACAATTTTCAAAAGATAGTGAGCTAATCCCCTGAGGGCAGGAGGATGACTTTAGGGAAGGCCTTTCTGGGAAGTGATACTTGAGCTAAGTTTTGGCTGACAGGAAGGAGCCCGCCATGCAAAGTTTGTGGGGAGAACTTCCCACGCAGAGGGGATAGTGCCCACAAAGGAGGCACCAATGTGAGAATGAGTTTGGTCCATTCCAGATACAACTCCAAGGCCCATGTGGCTGGAGCAGAGCAGGCCAAGGAGAAAGGTAGTAGGAAATGACAGAAGAGAGAGCCGGATGAGGGACCGGATCCCAGGCTTTATTCTAAGTGCAGTGGAAACCCATTAGCCGCTCTTACAACTGGCATGATCTGGTTGAGCGTTGCAAGGCTCCCCCGGCTGTAGGATGGAGAATGGATTGTAGGGGACAGGAGTGGGGGTGGGAAGACAGTGAGGAGGCCATTGCCATCACTAGTGAGGCTTGATGGTAGCTGCAGAAACTTCAACCCCCCCCCCACCTCCTACTGGGAGAGAGCCAAACCCAGGTCAGGCCCCAGCTGAAGCTCCAGATGGACCAAGCAGCAGTCATGGCTGTGGGGCAGACAGCTCAGACAGGAAGTCTCCATTAGAGCAGCACAGCCCTTGGGGGAAAGTTCTGACTGGCTTTACATCAGGCATTCATTTGTGGCACCAAACATTTAACAGAGCCATAGCTCAGTGGCAAGGAGCAGAAAACCCCAAATGAAAACAAACTAAAGTTTCTGCTCTCATGTAAAGCCGAGGACTGCTGTGATGGCCATAGTGACAGGAATTCAGGTTCCTATGTCAGGATTCCTCGACGGTGGTGTCCTTGACATCAGCCAAGATGTGTGGTACTGCCCTGTACTTCTCAGGGCACCATGGTCCCCAACCACCAAACATCATAGCGCTCCCCAGTCATTGTGACAATCCCAACATCCCCAAAGGTCTCCAGTGATGGGGGGTGCGGTGGGGAGTGGTTCACGCCATGTCCAAGTGAAAGCCCCTATCATTTTCCTCCACCTTGTGTGGCCTCCATTCCCTAGTTCACTTCATCATTCCACATGGCTGCTTGAGCTCCAGCTTTTTAAAAAAGATTTTATTTATTTATTTGACAGAGAAAAAGCACACAAGCAGGGGGAGCAGCAGAGGGAGAGGGAGAAAGAAAAGCAGGCTCTCCACTGAGCAGGGAGCCTGATGCCAGGCTCAATTCCAGGACCCTGGGATCATGACCCAAGCCAAAAGCAGGCGCTTAACTGACTGAGCCCCCTAGGCGCCCCTTGAGCTCCAGCTTTTATGTCCACATCACAACCAGTTAGGAAGGAAAAAAAAGGAAAAGACACCCCTTCTCTCTAAGGATCACACCCTGGACCGAAGGCAGGCGTTAACTTCCTGGAAGTTAGCTGCAGATTGCACATCCTCCTCCATCCCACTGGCCGAAACGATCGCCATATGGGCTTCCTTAGCTGCAAAGGAAGATGGGAAATTACTCCAGACAGCATGTGCTGCCCGGCTCAGATTCTCCAGTGCTGGCCCTGAGAAGGGAGGCCACCAGCTGTAGGAGAGCAGGGGTTGTGTCCATCTTGTTCCAGTGCCCAGAACGATGCCCGGCACACAGCAGATGTTTCTAAGTATATGTCAAATGGGTGCACGTGCAGATGTGGGGGAGCCCAGGGACCTGCTGCATGCCGGGCACTGCACAAAATGGTCGTTAGGCTCCCGAAGGAGTTCAGTTCACTGGAGAAGATGGACCTGCAGGTGACTGTAACAGAGTGGTGCACACCCAGGTTTTGTGTATCCAGGAAGGACACTGCCATGGGTGTCAAGCAGGCCTGAGTCCAAGTGTGGACTGAGGCCTGTCCACTAACTAGCTGTGTGACCTTCAGGGAGACAACTTAACCTCTCTGAGCCTGCACCTGCTCGCTGGATAAAACGGGGGTCATACCAATGCCTTCTGCCTTGCAGGGCTGTTGTGAGGATTACTGAGAGCGCCTAGCACAGTGCTGGCCTGGAGTAAGTGCTTTATAAATGTTAAATAGTGTTAACTTGGTTTTAGAGGTAAGTGCCGAGGATTCGAGGATTCGGGGATTCGGGGGAACTCAGAGGAGGGGCCTCTAACTTAGCTTTGGAGGCTATCAAGTTAAGGAAAGCTTCCTGGCAGAGAGGGCACCTGAATTCTGACTTAAAGGACAGTTACGCACAGGGAAGAATGTTCTTGACAGAGGGAAGAGCATGTGTAAAGCCAGAGGTTAGGAAGAACAGGGCTAGTTTAACTTGTTCAGTGTGGCTCCAAGCTGAAGCCGGGCTCGGTAAGGGGGAGCGAGAGCACTTAGAGGCAGGGTCATCGGAAGTCAGGGCTAAGGAAAGTGGCTTTGCCCCACAGGAGCAGGGGACACACCTAGGGTTTTCAGGCAGGGGTGAGAGAAGAGAGCAAAGCTTTGCAAGATGTCAGAGAGAGAAAACCAGCCCCACAACATTTGTTTGAGATCAGGCCAGCAGATGTCTTATCTATCATGTTCATTGGCCAGGGCAGGATGTTGGGGTGAGGGAGGCCCACCATGGGACCGGAGGCAGGGCTGGGCTGTAGGTGAGGATTGGGGTGGGCTGCAGCATCACCCCTCCCTCTTCCCCACCCGCAGCTTCGGGGTGCTGCTCTGGGAGCTGCTGACGGGTGAGGTCCCCTACCGTGAAATCGACGCCTTGGCCGTGGCATACGGCGTGGCTATGAACAAGCTGACGCTGCCCATCCCCTCTACGTGCCCCGAGCCCTTTGCCCGCCTACTGGAGGGTGAGCCAGGGCCCCGTGGAGATAGGCTCTGCTCGGGTGGCAGGGGCCCTCGGGCCAGACCTCATCCATCCCAGTGGGTCCCAGAGTGAGGGTCGGCAACCATCAGACCACAGTCCACCCCTCTACAACTGGTTCCACGGCCCCCAAACTTCTGTTCTGGCCCACAGCTCTTGGGGGCAACCTGCTAGCCTTCACTGGCCACAGGATTCCTCCCTGATCCTTGATTCTGCCACAAGTGAGGGAGCAGTTCCCCAGGTTTGTCTCCCAGAGTTTCACTGAGCGAAATGTTGCCAGGGATTTGGTTTCGAATCCCTTCCCCTCAGCTCCATGGAAGTTGTTTGTCCACAGTCCCCTGAAATCCTGCCTTTCACAGAGCATGGCCCCTGACTTCTCCACTTCCACTGCTGTCCTCCCGCCCCCACCCCCATCCCCAGAATGCTGGGACCCAGACCCCCACGGGCGGCCAGATTTCGGCAGCATCTTGAAGCAGCTTGAAGTCATCGAACAGTCAGCCCTGTTCCAGATGCCCCTGGAGTCCTTCCATTCGCTGCAGGAAGACTGGAAGCTGGAGATTCAGCACATGTTCGATGACCTCCGGACCAAAGAGAAGGTGAAGGCCAGGATGAAGCGAGATCCTGCTTGCTTTTTTTTTTTTTTAAGATTTTATTTATTTATTCATGAGAGACAGGGAGAGAGAGATTGAGAGAGAGGCAGAGACACATGCAGAGGGAGAAGCAGGCTCCATGCAGGGAGCCCGATTCGGGACTCGATTCTGGAACCCCAGGATCAGATTCGGGACTCGATTCTGGAACCCCAGGATCACGCCCTGGGCCGGAGGCAGGCCCTTTTTAAGAGATTAGAGATCCTGCTTTTTGATGTGCTTTCGCCTTCCCTGGGGCAGAATCCCTTCGCCTGAGCTTCAGTCTTTGGGTTCCTGCAGGGTGGGGGCGGGGGCTTTTTTGCATTTTAAGAAAAGCCAGCATGTTGCTGGATGCATAAGAAAAGGTACCCTGCACTGAGGTTCTTACCAGTGAACCTGGGGCTGGGAGTGGTTTTAAAATGTAACAGCCAAAGTGGGAGGGAGGGAGGGAGGAGAGAAGAAGTTGCAGGAAAAAAGATCTGCAATGTGTAAATAGTTATAGTTCAATGATGAGGGCACTGGATGCACTGTTCTGTCTCTGCTTTTGTGGATGCTTGAGGTTTTCTAAATTGGAGAGCCAAAAAAAAAAATTAAAAATCAGAGGGGGAAAATAAAGCCACCCCTTTGTGCTAAAACAAAACAGCCCTGTGTCCTGGCACCCAGCTTGACTGGTAAAGAGGGAGTCAGACTGTGACCCCAGTTTGCCCCATCTCGGGCTGCGCTTGTGCTGGGCTTCCACCGGGTCCACCCCCGGGGGTCTGGCCCTCGACCCAGCCGCCCATCTCCTCCCCAGGAGCTCCGGAGCCGGGAGGAGGAGTTGTTGCGGGCCGCCCAGGAGCAGCGCTTCCAGGAGGAGCAGCTGCGGCGGCGGGAGCAGGAGCTGGCGGAGCGCGAGATGGACATCGTGGAGCGGGAGCTGCACCTGCTCATGTGCCAGATGAGCCAGGAGAAGCCCAGGGTCCGCAAACGCAAGGGCAACTTCAAGCGTAGCCGCCTGCTCAAGCTGCGGGAAGGTGGCAGCCACATCAGCCTCCCCTCCGGTACCGCCCACATCCCTGGAGCACCGCACCGCCCCCCACCCCAGAGGCTGCTGGGAGCAGTCCTAACACAGGCTTTACCTCTTTCAGTTTTTAAACTTTTTTTCTTGCTACGTATATCACACATGTGGAAAAGGACCAGAAAACAATACAGCCTAATGAGTTTGTATAATCACCCCCATGAAAGCATAAAGAACCTGCAGCCACCCCAGATGCCCTCCTCACAGTCCCTCTAGACACAACCCCCTGCCACACACTCAGCCCACAATGGCAAGAGTAACCTCTATTTTTGACTTTCAGGGCATTCACCTTTCTACTTTATTGCTTCTTCTTTTACCTATTTTCTTATCTTTTAGCCTGCTGCTTTCCCCCCTTGACAATAATTTGTTGAGGAATTACATCATTTATTCCACGGCATCTTCCGCAACAGGAGTGGATGTTGCTGCTCGCATCCCCCTGGCATCGCCCCTCCATCCCTCTGAATTTCCTATAAATTGGAAAGTTAAACCATGTGAAATTGCTAATGTTCAGCCCTTTCTGACCTACAGAAACAAGCTTCACGTGGGTCAACCCACTAGGTAGATGTCAGGGCTAGGTAGATGTCAGGTTCAGGTTCAGGTTTGGTCTCTGGTTTTCCCAAAGCCGGCTTCCTAGGTGCTGTTACAGTGCTCACCTGCCATAAGTCACATAACGTCTGCTTGGACTCTCTCTCTGGGACATTACAAAGCCATAGCACAACGCCCAGAACAGCACTGGCCAGCAGAAATCTAATGCAAGCCACACGGCTAATTTTTAAATCTCCTCGTAGCCACCTTAAAAATGAGAAAGAAACAGGTGAAATTGATTTTAACAGTATATTTTATTTAGCCCAGTATATCCAAAATGTTATGGTGTCACACATAATCAAAACAAGAAAAAATGGTTAGTGAGGGATTTTCACTTTCTTTTTTCACACTCAAACTTTGAAACCCAGTGTACATGGTACAGTTACAGCACATCACAGTCCAACCACTAAGTTTTTGTCAAAAATACTTGACCTGCATTTGGATTTCGTGAAATGTACTGTTGAGAAAGTTAGATTCACCAAAAAAGAGAAAGATTCACATACCCAAGTCGTTCTAAATGTAAATGTTTTCAATAACCAAACTGTTTTTAAGTTTAAATTTTGATTCATTGCAACCACACAGATAATGTTAATGTTGAAACTCCCCAGTGCCTCAGCTATAGTGCCACATGGCAAGTGCTCAGTGGCCACAGGTGGCTAATGGTCACCACGTTGGACACTTAGGTCTAGATCTGTAGTCAATCCTTAGTTATCTAGGGACCCAATTAGGATCTTTCCTCTCAACCTGGGCATATGCCAGAGGTCTCTGGAGGGCTTGTCACAGTTAGATGGCTGTGCTTCACTCCGGAGTGGCCAATTCAGAAGGCCTAAGAGTGAGCACTCCCCCTGCTCCCGCCTCTGCCCCAGAGGTCTCCAGGTGAAGAGTTTGAGAACCGCTGTGTTAAGGAATGCAGAACCATGGCGAGGCCCATCCTAGCATTCCTTCTAGCCTCCTACAACAGGAACTTCTCTTTGGTTACCCTCAGAGACATTTGCTCAGGGAAGTTTCTTCCTTTTCACAGGCTTCGAGCATAAGATCACAGTCCAGGCCTCTCCAACCCTGGACAAGCGGAAAGGATCCGACGGGGCCAGCCCCCCCGCAAGCCCCAGCATCATCCCCCGGCTGAGGGCCATTCGCCGTGAGTACCTCCCCAGGCCCTGAGCGGTCAGTTGTCAACCACCTTCTCTGGGCACATGCCGTGCACTGAGCCAGAACAACAGGGTCCCCTCCCTGATTCACAGGGGAAACGCAATAAACATGCGAACAAGTCAGTAAGCAGGACAATTTCCTATAGTGATAAGCACTATAAAGGAAAACAGGGAAGGGAATAAAAGAGCAAAATTGCTTTTACATCAGGAAGGCCTGTGCGGGAAGCTGGGGTTTGAGCAGGGGCCAGCACGGTGAAGAGGGGTGAGGAGGGCCAACACCTGAGAGAAGTATGGCCCTGCCAGAGAGAACAGCAAGGGCCAAGGCCCGTGTGTCCGGCCTGGCTGCCAACTTGAATGGAATGAATGGGAGGGAGCAAGGTGTGGAGCAAGGGTTCCATGAGGGCCAGATCTTGCTGGGCCTTGAGAGCCAGGATAAGGAATTGGATTTGACTCTAAATGTGGAAGGGGCTATGGGCCCCAGAAGGCTGTGAGCCAGGCAGGAATGTGGTCAGACTTGCCTTGTCCTTCTGGCTGCTGGGAGGAGTATGGATTGTAGGAAGCAGGAATGATGGCTGAAGGTGGGGGAGACGATGGGGGCTGGACCCGAGTGGGGCCTTAGTTGGGAGATGGCTACTTTTGGGGCTACGTGGCAGAGGTGTAGCCAGCGTGGTCTGTGGACGAGCGGGATTCAAGACCGAGTCCCTAAGCTCCTCTGCCCCCCTCACCCCTGGCTTCACCCCATGCCCCACCCCCTCATGTCTCTGTTAGGCACCTGTTTGTACCAGCCCCGGAAGTCATTCTCCTGGGGACCCCCAGACAGTCTCCATACAGTGGTAGGCCATACTAGTGTCAGGCTACATTCAAAGCCTGGAAGAGAGAGCAGCAGACTCTCCAGGGAACAAACTCTGCCAAAGTTTGAGGCTTGAAGCGCAAGCAGCCAAGCAGGCCAGAAAAGGGACTGGAGGGAACAGTACCAGGCGAAGGGAACAGCCTATGCAAAGGCATGGAGGAGTGAAGATACCCACATAGGAACTGATAGACATGGGCTCCCAACCAAGGCACTCAGTGCCCTGTGCCTGCCCACCCAGACTCTATCTCCTTGCTCTCCTCCTTTCCTCCCTGCCTCTACACCAGCCCTACTGGCCCCCTGGCTGCTCTGAACAGTTCAGGCATGGCCCACCACAGGGCCTTGGCATATGCTATTCCCTCTGCCTGAAATGCTCTTCTCTCTTGGATCCACTTGACTTCCTGCTTCCCCTCCTTCACATCGTTGTCAAACGTGAGGCCTTCCCAAACTCTCAACCTCCTTTCCTGCTCTATCTTCCCTATAGCACTTTTCACCTTCTAATCCCTACACAGATTACTCATCTCATAGGATTCTTCACACCTAAAATGTAAACTCCTGAGGGCAGGGGGTTGTATTGGCTTTACCCACTGCTCTCTCCTCAACATGTCCCACAGGGCTTGCAGAGAGCAGGTGCTCAGCAGACACATGGGACTGAATAGACAGTTGAAGGGCTTGGGTGAGGAGTGACGGGAACTGAGGCTGAGGGCAGGCAGGGAAGCACATGAAGAGCCTCGAATGCCAGGCTGAGGAGCTGGGACTTTGTCCTGACAGCAGTGGGGAGTTATGGGAGGACTTACTGCAGGGAAGGGTCATGTTAGAAGTAGAGTCCAGGGTCCCTTGGACTAGCTGGTGGAGGGTGGATCCAAGAGTGAGGTGGAGAGCCTGGCAGGGACAGACTGCCCAAGAGCCAGTAACCAAGTGGCTTCTCTTGGCCCAGTGACTCCTGTGGATGGTGGTGGCAGCAGCAGTGGCAGCAGCAGTGGCGGCAGTGGGACATGGGGCCGCAGCGGGCCCCCAAAGAAGGAAGAACTGGTTGGAGGCAAGAAGAAGGGCCGCACATGGGGACCCAGCTCCACCCTGCAGAAGGAGCGGGCTGGAGGGGAGGAGAGGTACTGGCCCTGGGAGCCCACCCCTGGCCCTGCACCTGACCCCAGGCCCTCACAGCCAGAAGGCCTACCCCTCATCTCTGGTGCCCCCTGCAGGCTGAAGGCCCTGGGGGAAGGAAGCAAACAGTGGTCATCAAGCGCCCCCAACCTGGGCAAATCCCCCAAACACACACCGATAGCCCCAGGCTTCGCCAGCCTCAACGAGATGGGTAAGAGGGTGAGGGTGCCTTTAAAATGGAGAGGGTGGGGCATCGGAGGGAAACCGAACCCAAGACCAAGAGGTACCACCGTCCCCGGTTGGGAGGAGGAAGCCAATTTCACTAGACCAGTGCATCGGCAACATTCCCGGAAAGGGGGGCAGCCCCTGGGTGTTGGGTCATCCCCCACCCCCGGGGAGGTGGGCAAGAGCTTTGCGGGGAGAAAGATTGGAGAACCATGTTTGGTGGGGCTTGGCGGCCTCACTGCCTGTAGGGTCTCTCGAGGCAGCCTCTGGCCACCAAGTCCCGGGGACAGGGGAGCATGGGGGGGGCGGGGAGGCGAGTGACGGCCCTCTCCCGGTTGCAGAGGAGTTCGCGGAGGCGGACGGAGGCAGCGTGCCGCCCTCCCCCTACACCACCCCGTCCTACCTCACTGTGCCGCTGCCGCCCGAGCCCTCCCCGGGGGCGCCCACGCCCCTGTCCCGGCTGGGCCACGGCGGCCGGCGGCGCTGCGAGCTGGCTCTGCTGGGCTGCGCCACGCTGCTGGGCGCCGTGGGTCTGGGCGCCGACGTGGCCGAGGCGCGGGCGGCCGACGGCGAGGAGCAGCGGCGCTGGCTGGACGGCCTCTTCCCCCGCGCCGGGCGCTTCCCGCGGGGCCTCAGCCCGCCTGGCCGCTCGCCCGGCCGCCGCGACGACGCGGCCCCCGGCCCGGGCCTGGCGCCCTCGGCCACCCTCGTGTCGCTGTCGTCCGTGTCCGACTGCAACTCCACGCGTTCGCTGCTGCGCTCCGACAGCGACGAGGCCGCGCCGGCCGCGCCCTCCCCGCCGCCCTCCCCGCCCGGCACCAACCCCCTGGTGGACCTGGAGCTGGAGACCTTCAAGAAAGACCCCCGCCAGTCGCTCACACCCACCCACGTCACGGCCGCGCGCGCAGTGAGCCGTGGGCACCGGCGGACGCCGTCGGACGGGGCGCTGGGGCAGCGGGGGGCGCCCGAGCCCGCGGCTCCCCGCCCTGGTGAGTGAGGCGCCCCGCACCCAGGGTGCAGAAAACCCCCCTCCCCCCCTGCCCCCAGCAGGTCCCAGCCCAGCGGCCACCCCCTAAGTTCCAGGGCGGTCTCCTGCTTAGCGGGGGAGGAAGGGTCCCCAGCCCTGCAGTCCTCACTCCCCGGGGCATTGTGGGTCCCCAGGTGACTGAGCCCTGGATGCAGCAGAGGTGGCAAACCGCAGTGCCTCCGCGGGCCAGGAGGGTGACATTGGTGGCAACCGTAACAACTATAGGGAACACTCACGTGCTAGATGCTGTTCCCTGTGCATTTGTTACCAGAGACAAAGACCAGTAGGACAGGTGTTCAGTACCTATTACCAGGCACTGTGCTACTTTTTCTTACAATTATTGTTTTGTTTAACTCTGGCCTGTGGAGTGAGCTGCCGTCCTGCCATTCAGAGGTAGTGCTGTGCCTCGGGGGTCTCCTTAGGCCTGTGTGCATGCACCCAGTCCCTCAGAGGAGGGTTGTGAGGGATGAGGGCTTTATCTAGAGGGGCGATAAGGGGACAGGCTGATAAGTTAAGGAGTATGCTTGGAGTCGCTCCAGGATGAGTGAGTGATTAGGAGTGGTGAGGGGCCTGGGTAGAGGTCCTGCCCTTGCTGAAAAGTGGGCCCAACAAGATGAGCAGATATTTCACAAAAAGTCAGAAATTCCAATTCTCATGTAAAGGTCCTAGCTTTTAAATTCCACCCTCTGGCCCACCCCCATTGACCTCATCTGATCCTCTCTTACCAGGCCCTCCTCGAGACCCCCTGGACTTTCCCCGCCTGCCCGACCCCCAGACCCTGTTCCCGACCCACCGTCGGCCCCCCGAGTTCCCTGGCCGCCCTACCACCCTGACTTTTGCCCCAAGACCCCGGCCGGCTGCCAGCCGCCCCCGCCTGGACCCCTGGAAACTGGTCTCCTTTGGCCGGACACTGAGCATCTCGCCTCCCAGCAGGCCGGACACCCCAGAGAGCCCTGGACCCCCCGGCATGCAGCCCACGCTGCTTGACATGGACATGGAGGGGCAGAGCCAGGACAGCACAGTGCCCCTGTGCGGGACCCATGGCTCCCACTGAACCCTGCCCTCCACCGCCCGCCTGGGCAGCCATGAATGTAGCGCCCCAGGCCCCGCCCCAGCCTGCCATGCCACAAGGCGGGGGAGGCCCTGGGCAGGATACTCACTATTTATTGGGGAAGGGGGGAGGGGGTCACTTAATTTATTCCTTTGTACCCCAGAGGGTGGGGCCCTGTGCCCATCCTGCAGTATGGGGGGAGGGTGGGCAGGGATACTCAGGGACAGGGCATCATAGGGATTTGGCACAAAATGCAGCATTAAAGGTAACCCCTGCCCCCTACCGCTCTTGGCTGTGTCTTTCCCCAGTCCAGGGCCCTGATCCTGGACCATCCCCAGTAAGGCACTGACACCCCCCCCATCCTCCACCGCCTCCCTGAGCCTCTGGGTTTCTGAGATCCAGAGGGTGAAGCCCAGGCACACGTTCCCTCCCTAGTCCCCACAAGAACATCGCACAAAGAGGTTATGGTCACCAGTGACAAGGGCTTTACCAGCAAACACATAAGTCAGGGGAAGTTACACGCTGAGGTGGGAGTAGGGGGAGGGAAAGTCCCCCTAGGTTGGCCTTAGCCGACGACATCTCGAGTCCCGGCCCCGGCCCGACTGTCTTCCTGCTGGAGGCTGCAACGGTGCATCTTCAGCTGAGTCAGCTGGATGTAGCGGAGGACATTGGTGTCTGTGGGGAAGGGGGGCATGGCATTATCTAAATTTATTTATTTAAATGCTACCCTCTGGCCCACCCCCATTGACCTCATCTGATCCTCTCTTACCGGGCCCTCCTCGAGACCCCCTGGGCTTTCCCCACCTGCCCAACCCCCAGACCAGGAGTCCTGGGGCAGCGGGCGACATCTGCACCACTTCAGCTCACACCTCGATGTACCCAGCCTTCAGCGGCTCCCCCGCGCAGCTGCTCTTCCCAAAGTCCCAGCCACCACAAGCAGAATGGGGGCATTTCACACCTCCATACTTTTGCTTTCGCTGTGCCCTCTGCCAGGAGTGCCTCTGCTCAGAGACTTCTGTCATCCTCCTGCCCACCTTCCAGTAACACCTGCAAGGAGTCTGTGCCCTCTAAACCTCTCACCAGGAAAACTAATGTGGTCTCTGCTCCCGAAGCCCTGTGTCCTATACCTGTTGTACTCCCTTGTCATTGGTTCTCAATACAAAACTATTGTGTCTGCACCCCCCCACACACACCCAGACTATGATGTTCTAGAGGGCAAGCAACAGGCCTCCCCCCCACCCCTGCCCCTGCAAGTTTCTCAGCATTGTCCACCCTGGGGTCAGCCTCCCAGGAAGTGCTCAACAAGCCGTGGGTGGGTGAATGGGTTAGTGAGTGGATGAATGAGAATGGGGGGGAGGGGGTGGAGATGGGGGGGTGAGTGGGAGGCATCGTTGAGTCAATGACTAAATAGAGGGCAGGTGGTTGGGTGAATGTCAGAGGAACTTGGGTGAAGGGATGGGTGAATGAATGGCGGGTGAGGAGCAGGTGGTTGGAGAGGTAGGTGCTGGGGAGGAGGCACTGCACTCCGTTGAGGCAGCTCTGCCCTGATCCTCCCTTGTTTCCTGGTTTCCTCTGCTCTAGCCCCTTTCCCTGCCCCCTCACCTGTGGGCTCCCGGCTGCGGGCCTCCTGCAGGTAGCGCAGCGCGCGAGCATAGTCGCCCAGGTGGTAGAAGGCAATGCCGGCGCGGTAGGTGGCCTTGAAGTTGCCCTGCTGCTTCTCCAGGACCTTGAGACAGTACTCGCGCACCCGCTCGTAGTTCACCAGCTCCGACTGCAGCAGGCAGGCTGCGGGGACACCGGACCGGTGCTCGCAGAGCCTGGCGCCACCCCCAGACCTCACCTGACTGCTGGGAGCCGTGCCTTAGCGCTGCAGGTACCCCCAACCCTTGCCCATGGCTGAGCGGGGCTAGGGCACTGCCCAGGGCCGCCCATCTTCTGACGGATCAGGTAGGAGCCATCTGCGCCGCCGCTAGAGGGCGCGAAAACACAGACAAGCGCTCCCGGGCGGTTAGCTGGGAAGTTTCTGCAGGGGAGAGTACTGAAGGCAAGCTCAGGTGAGGGATGGGGCGCTGGATCGCCAGTCCAGGGTAAGATTTTTCTCACCTGGAGATTTTTTCATCCAGGGTAAGATTTTTCTTGCATCCCAGCCCTCCCATCCCTGTGTGCCTCTACACCCCCAACCCTTGATTAGCTCTCGGGTCTCCCTTCACAGACCCTAGGTCTGCTCCCTTCAAGCCTCCAGCCCCCCGCCCAAGGCTTCATGATTGCCCATCACCCCGACCCCTCCGCGTATGCACCCTCTGCGCCCCCCGACGGCCCCATACCAGTGAGAGAGTCATAACATTCCACCTCCGTGTTCTCCACCAGGCGCCGCTGCTCCTCGCTGAGGCGGGCCGGCCCGGGGCTGCCGGCGGGCCCGGGGGCGGGGGCGGGCAGGCCTCCAGGGCGGGCCCCCTGAGCCGCCTTCAGCTGCAGCAGTGCCCGGTGATACTTGCCGATGGCTTCCCGGAACTTCTTCTCTCGGTAGCAGCGCTGGCCCTCCGCCTTGAACGCCACGGCGGCCCGCAGGCTGCTGTCGAGCGCCGCGCCCAGGCCCCCCGACGGCTCTGGGGCAGGGCTGGGCCGGGCCGAGCCATGGCGGGGGCCCGGGCCCGGCGGGGAGAGGGCGGGAGGCGGGCGCGGCGGAGGCTCCGGGGCAGCGCTGAGCATCAGCACCGGGGACAGCGCGCCGCGCTGCATTGTGGGAAACTCCTGCGGCCGCCGCTGCAGCTACCGCATCGCCCCCCGCGGGGCCGGTCCCCACCCTTTCTCCGCCCCCGCACCTCCGGCTGCCGACTCCGCCTGCCCCCTATGGGTGTAGAGAAACCCCTCCGGACTTTCCCGTTCTATCCTCCAAATGGGCCCCAGCCCTAGCTCTCCCGCGCTCGCCCTCCTTCCCACTCCCCTACCTCCCACCCTCCTGCCTGCTCTCCTCCCCCATGCCAAAGCTCCCAAAGCTTCCTGGAAGGAAAAGACAAGTCTGGGGGAAAGAGCCTGAAGATAGCGACCTCGTGGAAGGCTGGTTTGCAGACCCATGGGCGTTTCATATATTTAGATAAGAACACGGGGTACGGGGTCGGGCTGCCCAGACTCAATTCCCTGCGTCTATTACTCACTAGTTGTAGTACTTGGACAAATCGCCCAGATTACCTGGAACTCTCGCCTCCTCAGTACCATAGTCAATGACAGCAACTGGAAACTCATCTGCTTACCTATGCAGCAAATATTCACTGATATTTTTTTTTTCTGTGCCCAGCTCTGCCTGGGGTGATGCCGGGAAAGGCAGGGACCGAGAGAACCTCAGCCCCTTGTCCAGCGGGGAGACAGACCAGTGACCAGGCCGTGACAGCCCCGAGGGGGCCAGCCTGGGAAGCTCAGGCAAAGCGGCAGGGGTCAGTGGGGAAGGCACAGGCAGTGGGGTCGAGCCCCGCATGGCGGAGGCGCAACAGGCTGTGGGATCCCAGCGGAGGTGCCTGCCCTAGACTGGGGAGTGAAGGCTTCCTGGAGGAGGGGATAACCCTAGGAACAAAAGAGATCTGCTTCTTGCCCTCACCGAGCTCACTGTCTGGGTAGGAGAAGCAGTGGGAAAGCAGCCAAGCCACAGCCCAGAGTGAGCAGCACAATGATACAAGAGTGTACAGAAAAGGAAGCACACTGAGAGGCTTTTAAGAGAAAAACAGGGTGAATGAAATGGTTGATCTTCGACCTTCCTTTGCTGCTTACCTGGGACCTTGGCCTCCACCTTGCCTTCCTCCTGTGTAACCTGGGGAGAACAACTGAGTCAGCTTCGGAGAGATTATAGACACTGAACTACCTTATGCAGATAAAGCAGTGAGCAACCGGCCGGCACAGGAATGGGCAGTTTACAACTCCCGATTCTTATCACCCATGAGACCGTGAGGTATGTGGTCGTAAGTGCCTGGCTCTGAGTCCGCATCCATGTGTAGCTGTTGAATGAATGAGTGAATGAGTAAATGTATTCATTTCCGTGTTGCCACCCTCCCCTACACCGTGCAGGCCCTGGCTTGGGCCTCAGCCCCGAGCCCCAAGCTCACATTTCCACTCCCCCTTCCCCCTGCCACCACAATCTCCCTTCTGGGGGCCACATAGTAGGTCCCACTCGACAGGTCCAAACCTGAACGCAGCACCTTCCATCCCAACACCAATACTTGCTTCTGTCTCTCTTTGAACTTTGCTGAATGAGTCGCCCCCTCTCTCTGGTCCTCCAGCTTTGAACATCTCCAGGGCAAAAAGTTCGTCCTCTCTCGCACCTCCAAACCTAGGTTTGGTTAAGAGTCTAATATTCCTGTGGTTGAAATCCTGAGATCACTTCAGGCATGTTTTTAATTTACAAACGTGGAGATCCATTGATTTGTAACAAAGATTTGCTGAGCACCTCCTAAATAGCTAGGTGCTGGGGGTTCAGTAGAAACGGGAGATGAGTGTACCTAGCGTGCAGTCCTGTTAGGATGCAGTGCTAGCAATCCCATAACACCTACTCGGTGTCAGGCACTGTCCTAAAACTCTACATATGTATTAACTCACATCCTCCTCACACCTCTATGTGACTTCTACCCATTCACACCGTGGCACTCTAGGGGTTAAGTAAATCAGATCCCTTTTATAGAACACTTGCTATCAAAGACCCATACTATCACACACTGACTCTCCCAGGCCAGCTTATGCGATATGTTGGGCTTGTGCAACGTTTAAGAAATATTGAATTAATTGCTAACATACGGAAGTAGAGATACTTGTGGAATTTTAGAATTTCAGCTTCACTTGAACAAAATCTGCCAACCTGGCAACACCGAGGTAGCATTCCTTATGACTGGGGCACGTAGTCTCAGCTCCCCCCCCACACACACACCCGGCCCCATCCCTCGTTTCTCCCCAACCCTGAGACCCAGAGCCCCTCAGGTTGCAGCATCTCCAGCTCTTTTACCTCCAGCAGGCGGTTGTGCTTGGCTTAGCCGCGCGTGCGGAAGTCCGCCAGCGCCCCCTGGCGGACAGGATCAGCATCTGCATCATACCTCCCGGCCGCCATTAAGGGACTGGGTAAAGAACATCCAATCAGAAAGAGGAGAGGCCTGGAAAGCGACCAATCAGAAGCGAGAGGGGCGGAATTCGACCAATGAGGACAGAGAGCGCTCCGGATTAAAAAAAACTCTTTTATTGAAGTGGGAGACGGACACACACGAACAGTCTTTTGATGCGGCCTCCGGGCTCAGCGAGGCGCGGGCTGCGGGCGGCGGAGCAGGCGGGCGGCGGCGAGGCTCGTGCCCTGGCGCTGGGGCCGCGCGTACTTGAGGAAGACGGCGGCGCGGCCGGGCGCGGGGCCTCGGAGCGCGGCGCGGGCCATGCACGGCTGGAGCGGGCGCAGCTCTGCCGGGCTGCGGCGGGGAGACGGAGAAACGGGGGCGGGGCGGCGGCGAGGACGACCTGTGAAGGCCCGTTGGCCGGGGTCCCCGAGGACCAATCAGGGGTGCTCTAGCTTGGGCAGTGGCTGGAGGGCGCCGGGGACGGGCAGGCCGCCCCGGTTGTCCCCCTCCCCGTGCAGAGCCGGAACCGCGGGGAGGCACGGAGCGGGGCTGAGGATGGACAGACGTCCAGCTCCATCCCGGGGTGGGGGCGGGGGGCTGGGCGAAAAGGGAACTCGCCGGTGGCACGGTTAACGGGGAGGTGGGGCGCCCCTCAGGCAACTGGAGGGACACCGCGTTTGCGGCTGGGGGGGAGCTGGGGGGCTCGAGGTTGTCAACCCCGGACCGCAGCTAGCGGATCTTCCGGGCCTCGGAACACCCTATCTTCCACCCTGGGGCAAGGTTTAAGGGTCCCCAAATCGGGACAAACACCTCATCCTCTGACATCCCCAGGGTAGACATTTTCTCACACCCAGAGAAGTCTGGGTGCGCCCCCCGCTCCCCGGCCATTGTCGCTCATTCTCGGAGACGGAAAGGCGGGGCCCAGGAAAGTAGGTTCCTGAAGCCACCGGGCCCCTCCCCTGGAGCCGTACCTGTAAAGCGAGGGCTCGAGGCCGGAGCCCGCCCCGTCGAGCAAGCGGTGCGCCAGGCTCAGCGCCGCGGCCGCGCGCCGACCCGGCTCCCATCCTGCGGCCTCCGCCTCCAGCAGCGACAGCTCCAGAAAGTAGGCGGCGAGCAGCGTCACCTGGCCAGGCCCCGGAGGTCAGGCCCCGCCCCGATCCCTGCGGCCCGCCCCCGCCTCCGCCCCGCCCCCTCCGCACCTGGGGGCGGCTCCCGGCCAGCGCGGCGAGGAGCCCGAGGCAGAGCAGCGGGCCCGGGTGGTGCAGCCGGAACTCCAGGCGGCTCAGGATGCGGCGCTCGGCGCGCAGGAGCTCGGCCCGCGAGAAGGAGCCGGCGCCCAGGAAGCAGAGGGAAGCGGACTGCGGGTGGCGGGGAAAGAGGTGGGAGGGCCTTGGGCGGGGTGGGGGGGCGGTGCTCCCTGCCCTGTCGCCCCGGGAGCGGCTCAGTCTCCGATCTGAACCTCGAGTTCCTGGTCTGCAAAATGGGGCGGTTGATTTGCTGTCTGGAAGCCTTGGCTAAAGAACCAGACCTGGGTTCGAGTTCAGCCCCTACCAATTTCCCACCAAGTGACTGGGACATCACAGACTGAGACGGAGCTTCCCGGGGAGCTCCCGTTAGGCACCGACTCCAGTGAAGCACTGCAACGACTAGAACTGTTCAAGCCTCGGTCCCAGCCCCACCTGCTCTGGGCAGGGGCTTCTCCCTGGGCCTCAGTCTCCCCCTCTGTTACAGGGACGCGCTGGGAGCAGCCCCGGCCTCGCACACATGCCGGGATTCCGAGGGCCCGTAGCGCGCTGGCTCGGCGCTCCGTGGGCCTCCCACCTGTGCCGCGGCGAGCGCGGGTTCCACCCTCCCGGGCCCCACCCCGGAAGTACCTCGGGCAGCACGCACTCTTCCACTTTGCAGGCCACGAACAGGCAGGCCACGCCCAGCAGCTGCAGGCGGTGGAGGCGCACTCGGCCCCCCGCGCGCAGGTAGGAATCGAGCAGGTGCACCGCCAGGTAGAGCGTGTCCCCCGCCAGGCCCAGGTACTCCTGGGGAGGGGCGCGAGTGACGCCAGGGCTCCAGGCTGCGACGCGGGCCCAGCTCTCCCGCCTGCCCCCAACCGATACGTACGTGCACCTGGATCAGCCAGTCCACCACTAGCGCGCGCATCTCCGGGGTCACGGTCGGGGGCAGGGCCCTCCGGGGCAGCGCGCGGCACACCTGCGGTTGGGCACGGAAGGCCTCACTCCCCACACCTGGGCCTCGGCCTCTCGCCTGAGGCGGGGCCCCAGGGCGGCAGCCTCCTCGCACCACCGGAGGAAGGGTGAGCGCCGCGGTGAAACCGGCCTCCGACGTCTTCCCCAAATGCGCTTCTATTCCTCGCCCCCATCAGAGCGGGGACTTTGTTGTGGACGCCTCCCCCCCTCCCCGCCACCTCTCCAACCTGTACCCCCATGGCCACGGCTCCTCCCGAGTATCTCCCCCCGGGTTTCCAGACCACTAGCGGTCACCAACCCTCAATCCATCGTCCTCCGAACACCCAGAGGATCTAAAATACAAAACTGGCCAAGGACCTCCCCAACTTCAAACCCTTCCGCGGCTTCCAGCACCCTCGGGAGAAAGCCCTAATTGCGCTCTCAGGCACCGCCCCTGCGCCACCACCTCCTCTTGCCCCTCTCCACTCACAACCCACACGCCAGCTCCACCAGCCTTCTCTAGCCCTGCACTAGGACAGCCCCAGCCCTACCCCAGGGCCTTTGCACTTATGCACCGTTCCCTCGCCTGGAATGGTCCTTCCCCGGCTCCTTGCACTGTTGAAACCTCAGCTCAAACTCCCTGGACTTTTCCCAGACAGAATTCTCTCTGCACCCTGCACCCCGCCCCCCCTCCCCGGCTCCGGGTCAGCACTTCATGTTCCTCGAGTGTTTTGATCTGAAGCTACCTGGCCTTTCCTTGTCCGTCTGTCTGCCTTCCCAGGCCGCTGGCCCCAAAGGGCAGGGATTCTCTCTGGATCACACCTGTATCTCACTTCCCGACGGTCCCTGGCTGGGGAGGGACAACTCCCCGCTGCAGTTTCTTAACCAACTTCGGCCCCGCCGCGTTTATTCCGACAGGGCCTATCCTGCGCAGGTGTCTGCAGGTGACCGGGCCGCGCTTTGGCCTCCGTGGCCCTTCTGCCAATACCGCCTGCGTCGGCTTGTCCGCAAGAACAGACCGCGGGGGGGGGGGGGGGTTCATCACAGCGTCCCCAGGGCCGGGAACAGGCTCAAAAACGTTTGCTGGCACATCGCCAAGTGCTCGGAAATGAATCCTTGCGAGGGACAAGTTGGTCACCAAGGGGCTGCCGGCAGGGTTTCCGGGGGCGGCCGCGAGCCGCCAGCTTTCTCGGGGCTAACCCCACCCGCCCTGCTGCCCCGGGACGCGCTCACCATGACCTCGGTGAAGATGTCCCCGGCGTACTCGCGCTCCCCCTCCAGCCCCAGCGCGCTCAGCGCCTCCGCCAGCCCCGGCGGCGCGCACGGCCGGCGGGGCCCCTCCCGGCGTCCGGGAGACCCCCGCGGGCCGTCGGGGATGCGGTCGGGGGAGGCGGCGGGGCTCTGCAAGGGAGAGGGGCGGGGGTCAGCGCCGGAGAGGGCCGGGAGGCGGGACCCCGGCCGCCGCATCTCACCGGCATCCTCCACGCTGGCGTTGGGGGGCGGCGGTGGACCAGCCCAGCGCCCCTCTTCCTGCTGGAGCGAACGGCCGGCGGCGGGCGCTTTAAGTTGCGCCTGCACGCATGCGCGCTGAGCACGCCTCACCTGGGCAGGTGCAGAGGTGCTGGCGAGGGCTACGCCGCTTGGCTCCGGCCCCTCAAACCTAAGGTCAGGCACCTGCATCAGAAACTCCGGCTACTCCGAGGCTCCCTTCCCTCGGCTGTAAGGTAAGGATTGTTTCAAACCTACTACGACTCGGGACGCCCCCGGGTGGCTCGGGGCGTGATCCCAGGATCCGGGATCGAGTCCACACCGGGCTCCCTGCGTGGAGCCTGCTTCTCCCTCTGCCTGTGTCTCTGCTTCTCTTTTTGTCTCTCATAAAAAATAAAATCTTAAAAAAAAAAATACTAGGACAAGCGGCCCGCGATGACTAGCGCGGCGACTCCTCACTGCTCCCCGGTCCCCGCCCCCATGTAGCCAGAAGCGAGCCTGTGCACACCCAAGTCGGACCGCACTCGGCCTCCGTTCAGCACTCCATCGTGGCCTCCATCTCCCTCTGTTTGAAAGTCCCCAAGGTCCTTTATTATCCTCCCACCCAGCGCCACACACAGCTCATCCCCCCCCGCCCGTCTCTCCTGCCGCATCAGCCTCCTGGCTCATTCGCACCCACACCAGGCACGCTCCTACCTCAGGGCCTTTGCACTGGAGGTTTCCGCTGCTCTGCCCTCGGAGATCCCTCCCTGGAAGTATTTACTCAATGCTACCTTCTCCCTGAAAGCGGCTGCCCTGAGGATTCCCTATCACCATTCTTTGTACTACTCTCTCGGTAGCTCTTATGCCTGACCTCACCCACGGTCTCCCTCCTGACAAGAGTGTGAACCCCAGGGGGGCAAGGCTTGTGTGGTGTTTTGATTGCTGTATTCCCAGTGCCTAGAACGGAGTTTGGCACATGGCAGGTCAAGAAGTACTTGTTGGATGACTAAGCGGACAGGCTGGATAGAACTTAGAAACGGTGGCCTGGGGACGCCCGGGTGGCTCAGCGGTTTAGCGCCTGCCTTTGGCCCAGGGTGCGATCCTGGAGACGTGGGATCGGGTCCGGCGTCGGGCTCCCTGCATGGAGCCTGCTTCTCCCTCTGCCTGTGTCCCTCCCTGCCTGTGTGTGTGTGTCTTTCATGAATAAATAAAATCTTTTTAAAAAGGGCCCCCTGGGGAGGTGATGCACAGTGAAACCCTAAAGGCAGGGAGCCAGGAATGCAAAGGAGGGGGGAATCTTCCAAGCGGCGGAAACAGCATGAACAAAGGCACTGAGGTAGGACAGGGAAGGCTATGTTCAGGCACCGGGAGGTCAGCGAGGCTGAAAAAGTGAGCAGAGGAATGAGAGATGCTGAGCCAACGACCTCCGGCCAGACAAGATCACCCAGACGCCTCACCTTGGCCACAAGGTCCCTTCGGCCCGTCAGTGCCTCTCTAACCTCACTTCCTCCTGTTCTCCCCCTCCCTTATGCCACTGGACACACCTGGGCCTCTTTATGTTCCCCAAATGCATCGGGCGCCTGTGGGCCCCAGGGCCTTTGTGCTAGCTGTGCCCTTTGCCCGGACGCTTGATCAAAACCTAGAGTTCGGGGATCCCTGGGTGGCTCAGCGGTTTGGCGCCTGCCTTCGGCACAGGGCGTGATCCTGGAGACGTGGGATCGGGTCCCGCGTCCAGCTCCCTGCGTGGAGCCTGCTTCTCCTGCCTGTATCGCTGCCTGTCACTCATGAATAAATAAAAATCTTAAAAAACCAACCAACCAACCAACCAACCTAGAGTTCTCCGCTTTCAGAGTATCTCTATGCGAGATACTAACTACAAAGGGAAAGGGGTAACTGCAGTGGAGACACGTGACAGACCCCACTTTAAGGGACCGAAGTCCTCACCAGCCTCTCCGAGAGGACGCTCGGAGAAGGGCTCATCGTTTCTCAAGTTTCCCGTCACAAGTAGCTGGACTATCCCGGTAGGAAACATCAGGCCACAAGCCTTAGCTGAGGGACATCCTATGGAACAACTGGCCTGTAAGTTTCAAACCTGACAACGGAACGCCACCGGGGTCGTTAGCCAGGGGACTTTTCTCCTTTTGTAGACAGGGACAGGAGTGTGCCCATTAGTCAAGTGTGATAGGATCGGAGAGAAGAGGGTTGTTCCGGTACTAACTTCCTGACCTGGATAACTGAACTGTGGTCAAGAAAGAGAACGTTCTTGTTTCAGGGCAGATAGGTACATACGGGGGGGGGGGGGGGTGAAGAAAACGTCACAGCAACCTGCGGGAAGGGTAGGTGAGAATTCTCTGTACTTTCTTTAAAGTCAAATTTTACTTTTTAAAAATATTTTTATTTCTTCATGAGAGACACAGAGAGAAAGGCAGAGACACAGGCAGAGGGAGCAGCAGGCTCCCTGCAGGACCCCGATGCGGGACTCGATCCCGGGACCTAGATCCCACCCTGAGCCAAAGGCAGACGCCCAACTGCTGAGCACCCAGGTGTCCCTAAAGTCAAATTTTAAAGTAGGTCCCGGGGAAGCTGCAGAGACAGAGTGCCCGTACACCCCACACCCACCTGCCCTATCAGCGCCCTAGTAGCACCCGTCACAAGCACGGACGGTAGGACCACCACCCTGATCGCCTGCCAGGGGCACCTCCTGCCAACGGGAGCTCCACTGTCGATGTTGCCCTTGACCGCCTGGCTGGCAGTAGTGCTTGTCGGGTTTCCCCTTTCCACACGGCCCCCTTTGGAAGGAAGTCACTTCGCGGCCCACAGGTGAGGAATGGGGGACCCACTCCCCCCCACACCCCGGAGGCACAGCAGCTACAGGAATTACCTGGACGTCCGTTCCGACAGGTCTGTTCCCCCCACTTAGCATTTATCTCCGTGCAAACTCGATTGTGAACTTTGGGTATAACCCTGCACAAGGCTACAACTTTTGTGCTCTCAGCCCGGGGTAGGGAGGCACTTTCCAAGGTCCCCAGTGTCCCTTTACACGCCCCCCCCAACCCCCCACCAGGAAGGCTCTGCTGTGCCTGCTTCTGAGCAGGTCCTTCCAGGTGCTTCAGACCTAGAATCATCTTAGTACTATTCTTCTGGAAGTTTTCCTCTACAAGCCTGCACCTGCAATTATTTTAAAAATGACGTTAAAAATCTGTGAATCACTACATTTTTGTGGGGAAAGCTGACACGTATTAAAAATACAGCCACCCTGGAATGTGGGCGAGAGAGTGCGGGAAAGACGGATCATTAAGGTTTCCAACAGCACTGTCGGGAGCAGCAAAAAAAACTAGAGACCGAGTCAATTCTTGTCAGTTGGAGGCAGCTGGGTCAGTTGAGGCACATCTGCGTCGTGGCCATGAGGGGGTCCCCAAAATACAGAGAGGGCTTAGAGGCCCTCATTTTTACCAGTGACCGACACAGCCCATCCACAAGGCCCACACGCAGGAGGAGCACCGGTTAGGACGTGGCAGGTAGAGCCCAGGGGCTCCGCATTAGTAACTGGGCGACGAGCCACGCACACCCACAACCAAACCCATGGGGGAGCCCTGTTCTGACGCCCTGTCCACCTGCTCAGGACCTGGGACCCGGGCTGATTTCCACTCGTCTTCCTCATGCTTCGGCTTTGCTCGCGTTATTCTTTGAACATGTGACATTTCCCACATGCACGTGACAAAAGACAAATTAATCTACTCAAATGTTTCCAACTGCTTAAAATTTTATTAAAACTCTCCCACCTGAAATTCCCTCCAGGAAAAGTTCTACAGAAGTAAGCACCACTACGTGTGGGAACTACGATCGCCCGAGGGAAGTGGCTCATCAGCCTGTGGGCCCCGCACTGGGGACAGTGAGGCGACCCAGGGGACTGAGGTAGGCTCGGGATGTCCCTCCGTGGGGGGCAAGATGCGAAAGGAGGCCTCGGCCGGAGGGGAAACTAGGCTTTTCTCTAGAAGCTTCTCTGCTGTTTGTCTTAGGACCACGAGAACATACTTTTGTAATTAAATAAATAATACAGTCCATATGAAGTCAAAGCCACGCATTCCTGGATCTTGGCTGTAGCGAACGGAGACTCCCATAAACTGAATCCGACTTTCCTGCTACCCTCACTCAAGATCTCAAAAGATTCCACGCGGGAGAAGCAGCCCTAACCCCTTCTGGCAAAATCCGACATTAAATTCACCTGTGCCAGGGCAACCCTGGGCCTGAGGTGTGGGGAGTCAAGCACAGGCACCCCAGGACAAAGGGGACAGCTGTCAGAGGATCCCAGAGCTATGAGGGCTGCAGCCAAACGAGAGGTGCCCCCGACCGACAGCCACCACGACTCCCGTCCATACACCAAGGCTCCTGCGTTGGCGTGTGGGGCCCTCAAGGCTCCCTGGTTTAGCCCAAGTGGGGAGAAGCGGACGTGCAGGCACCGCCGGCTCCAGGACCCAAGGGCCGCATGCAGTGCATCCACCCCCTCACGCTCACTCCCAGGGCTCGGTGGCGCCCCGCACACCCTCCTCATTCAGGGTCACCCTGACTGGCCCACCCTGTCCCTCCCCCCTACCTCTTCTTGCCTGGGCAGCTTCTGAAGACCTAGAATGGTCTCTGCCCACCGTGCCACCACACCCCAGCTCCGGGAAGCTTCCAAGCTCCTCAGCAGCTTCCACCGGCAGGGGGACCCACCCCGAGCCCCACCTGCCCGCCCCCTAGAGCCGGAAGCCAGGCACGGCTCCCAGTGCCCAGGTCCTGCCACAGCGGACAGGTCCCAGGAGCGGATCAGTGGGGCCAGGCTCTGCAGGCAAGGAATGGCCCAGGGCGGCGGGCCCCGGTCTCCAATGAGTGTCTTTATTGCTTGTACCGTACAAATGGGGGGAACGGGGAAGGCCAGTGGGGAGGACAGAGAATTGTCAGATAAATGACATACACACACAGAAAGGAAAAAGACCCCCCACCCACCCACCCAAACCACCCTCACCCCACCCTAGGATGTCTCTCTCTGAACTACCTAGTACAGGAGGTGGGGCCGGCAGATCAAAGCCACAACTAAGGTCCACACACCCCGAGATGTTGGGGGGAGGGAGGAGGGGGAAAGAGAGGGGGAGGGAGGCTGGGCAGCAAATGGGCCCCAGGTGTGGCTCCCCCACTAGGCCAGCACCCCTCCCCGACGGGATGCAACGCTTGGGCCGGGGACAGGGCCCAAGCCCACACACACCACGCATTCAAGGCCGGGACACACTTACCCTCACACACACACACCCAACACACATGCACACACACACCCCCGTGTGCATCCACGTCCCAGATGCACAGGCACATCCACAGACACACATAGTCTGAGGCACGCACACGTGTGCCCACAGCATGGACACATGTTCACCTTAAGGCTGCAGAACGTGGGGCCCAGAGAGGGGGAGGTAGGGAGGGGCCACGGAGCCACCCCTTCTCAGAGGCTGCCCCCCAGTACGTACCAGAGACCCCCACCCATACCCCCTCTTCGACCCCAGTCCATGGGGCCCAATACTGTCTCGGTGCGAGATGTGTAACAGCTGGAACTGGCACCCCTCCGCCCCAGGCGGAAAGAAGGGGGTAATCCCAGCCCCCATCCTTGGAAACGGCTGGGGCCAGGCCCGGGATCCAGCAGGAGTTAAGGCCAGCTGGAAGGAAGCCCTGGTAAGGCACAGGACTGGGTGGCGGGGAGGCTAGTCCCCAAATATTCCTCCTGCCTCATCCACAGGGTCAGGAGAGCAGCTTGGGAGGCTGGGGAAGGCAGGCTAAGGAGGCAGTGCCCATCCCCCGGGCCCCTCCTCATTCCCCACAGGGTAGACCAGACCCCATCTACACCAGGGATCCCTGAACCCCCAACCCCGCGGCTTCCAAAGGCCTCCGCCTGTCCCTGGACATTGCTTTTCCACCCCTGTGGGGGGAGGGCCTGGACTGCCCAAGCCAGGCCACTCTGAGCCTGATGCAGGGCATGGAAGGCAGCACCAGGGCACTGTCTGCTGGGCATTGTGTCCCACGAGGAGGCAGCCTCTGACAGAGGCAGCAGCACAGAGGGAGGCTGCTGGCAGGTGCCTGGCCAGGAACTCAGGCAGGACCCACAGCTCCACGCTTTGCCCCTCGCTGGGGCTCATGTTGATTAAAAACCGGAATCTCTCCAACCGCCCAAAGGCCTGGTCCTGGGGTGGGCGGTGGAGAGTCTCCCAAATCCTGGTCTGGGCACAAAGGTGAGGACAGGACAGGATCCTGGAGGCAGGGCCGCTGGGACCGCTGGGGTGAGTTTGGCAGAGGGCTGAAGAAAAAACTGGAAATGGGGGTGAGCAGGTGAGGGATGGGGATGCAAACAAAAAAGGCAAAATAAAAGTTTAAAAACACAGAGAAAAGCCCCCGGGGCGGTGATGGCAGCCGTGCGTGTTTCCTGCGGCGACGGCATCAGTGGCGGTGGGCGGCACTGCTCACTCGCGGATGCTGGCCGAGTAGGAGAACTGGGGGAAGTGGGTCCGCTGGTCCAGTTCGAGGGAGCCCAGGCTGTCATCTGTGGGGAGGGGGGTGAGGGTGGATTGGGGAGAATGGGCCTGTCGAGGGCGCAACACCCCAAGGGCGTCAGGAAGGACCACAGGCAGTACACACAGTACACACCCCACATGCAGCGGTCCGGTCCAGGAGAACGGGGCAGGGAAGACCCAGGGGCTCTCCCCGGACAGAGGCCCCCCGCCCCCCACCAGAGCCTGGGCCCATGGGCTGCTTGCTCCCCAACTCTGCTCTCCCCGTCTGGGGCCACTCTCTCTAGCCCAGGCCTCTCTCTGTCCCCTGCCTGGCTGCCACCGCTGCCCCCACCAATCAGCCTCCCTCCTCAGCCACAGGGACTCTGAAGGCCAGATGCAACTCTGCCCCCCTCCTGCAGGGAACCTTTCCAGGGCTCCCCTCACAGCAGGCCCCTGCTCCGCTCAGTGGCCCTCAAGATGCTCTTGCTCAGCCTCGTGCCCCCCCCCTTCCCCCATCTACTCCAGTGTCTGCAACACTCCAGTCCAGAGCTCCCATCCCTGTGAGCCATTCCTTCTGCCTTCTGGAATGCAGCTCAGCTGCTAAGTCTCCTCCTCCAAGAAGCCATCCGTCCTGACTCACAGGCCAGGACAGGCATTTCCTCTGCATCTCCCCAGTCCCTGGGCTCCCAGACCCTAGATCCGAGTACCTGGACTGTCACCACACCTGAACTGATGCTCCCGCAAGGCAGGACTATGTCAGTCACAGCTATGTCCCCAGCACAGCCCAGCAATGAGTGAGTGAGAGCAAGAGCTCAGACAGGTGCAGAATCAATGACCCAACCCAGCCCCCAAGACCTGGGCAATTTGGAAAGACAACTATGAATGTGCCTCCTGACCAGACCTCTAGCCCCAGAGCTCTGGAATAGGCTGTGGCCGACGGCTCCTGGTGACCCTCACTGGGTCCAAAGGTACACACACCAACAAACTGCAGGCAAGCTGCCCAGACACAGGAAAGGAGGGAGGGTCTGTGAGCTTCCTCCCCGGAACCGGGTCAGGGGCAGACCCTAGCCCTCCAACCCCCAGCCAGTCCACCCGGGGAGGGCCAGACACTCACAGCGGTCCGGGGGCGTGATTGTAATGGACTGGGCGGTGAACTCGTCGTCAAAGTACCTGGTGTCAACCTCAGAGGTGACCTGAGGCTTGAAGGGTGGCAGAAGCTGTGGAAGAAAGGAGCCCATACTCAGGACCCTGGGGCCAGGAGGCCTCAGTCAAGGTCACCCTTGCACAGCGGGCTCCTGCAGGAATGGGCCGGAGGTGGCGCTCACCTTCTTCTGTACCACGTCCTGCCAGCTGACGCTGAGGAAGAACCTGTGCTCCATGACCTCCCTGGCGTCGCTGGGCCCCCCGCCGAGCCTGGGCAGAGATGGCCATGAGCACCCGCCGCTCGGGCCAGCAGGCTCTGGGAGATAGGCTTTCAGTGCTGGCCCTGAACAGCCTTTAGCGATTCTGTCCTGGCCACAGAGCACTTCGCAGAGGAGAAAACCGCGGCACAGGGAAGGGGGCTCACAGGCCCGGACTCTGAGTCCAGAACAGAAGCTGGGAGGGTGGGCTGCCTGCTGTGTCCCCAAACAACCGGGCAGTGCGGGCAGAGTGCTAAGGGCACGTCTGGCCCCAAGAGAGGACTCCCTAGGTGCAGGCTGCATGGACCACTGGCTGCGGGGGCAGTGGCAGCAGGTGGCACCGGGCTGGGCAGGACAGACCCCAGCCCTCACCTCTGCTTGGGGTCCTTCTTAAGCAGCCCGGCAAGCAGGGACTTGGCCTCAGGGCTGAGTGTGCGCGGGAAGCGGATCTCCTCCATGAGGATGAGCTCGAAGAGGCGCTCGTGGTCCTGGTTGTAGAAGGGCAGGCGGCCGCACATCATCTCGTACATGACCACGCCCAGCCCCCACCAGTCCACCGCGCGGCCGTAGTCGTTGTCTTCCAGCACCTGAGCAGGGAGGGGCAATGAGGGGCCGCCTCCCACCGCCCTGGGGCTGTGGGGGACCCAGGAAGGGATGGGGTACTGCCTCTGGCAGCGGAGGGCCATCTGAGGAATGGGAGCCGCTCCTCACAGGGTCTGGGCTGGGGAAACACAGGTCCGAGGGCCCCTCCTCCCTTGGCCTCACACGCCCTGGGGAGCTCCAGCCTCAGGCACCTCGGGTGCCAGGTACTCGGGCGTCCCACAGAAGGTTTTCATGGTGGCCCCGTCACTGATGCCCTCTTTGCACAGGCCGAAGTCAGTGATCTTGATATGGCCATCTTTGTCCAGCATGAGGTTTTCCAGCTGTGGGAAAAGTCAACCTATCAGGGCCGCGCCCTTCCAAGGCTTCCTGACCTCAAACCCCACACACCACATCACTCCCCAGGAGGGAGACGGGCTGCTGTGGTAGCTGTCACACCAGGGGCTCCAGGCCGGGCACTGGGCATACCCCCAGCACAAGGTTAAGCCCTTGAGGGTGAGGGAGGCCAGCCCCTAGAGCAGCTGGAAAAAAGCCAGGACAGGGAGAGATGGGAGACAGGCCCTGCCAGCCTGCTCCCCCAAATGTGGGCTGTAGCTTCCCCAACTGGCGTGTGAGCAACACTAACTCTCTTCCTCCACTTTTTCTATTTTTTTTTAAAGTAAGCTCTATGGCCAGCGTGGGACTTAAACTCAGGACCCCCAGATCAGCAGTCGCATGCTCTGCCCACTGAGCCAGCCAGGTGCCCTCCTTCTTCCACCTGAACTAAACTTAACCCATGGGGCAGCCCAGGTGGCTCAGCGGTTTAGCGCCGCCTTCAGCCCAGGGTGTGATCCTGGAGACCTGGGATCGAGTCCGACGTTGGGCTCCCTGCGTGGAGCCTGCTTCTCCCTCTGCCTGTGTGTCTGCCTTTCTTTCTGTGTCTCTCATGAATAAATAAATAAAATCTTTTTAAAAAATAAATAAATAAACAAACTTAACCCAAATGGGCAATCTGGTGGGCCTCTGTGTAAGCTCCGCTAGCTCAAGGGCCTATTACCAGACCCCTGTGCCCATTCCCGGTTACCAACCATCCCCACCACTGAGAAAACACTTTACTCCTTTGCTGTTCTTTACAGCTTCCCCACCTAAGTATGCCCCCGACAAACCCCTCGACAAACAACACAGACTCATATGGTCCGTCCTGGCTTCCCCTCAACGTGAGCCTGAGAGGGGCATCTGCACAGAGGCTGCCGTGAGGCCGCAGCACATTCTAGCCCTTCCCCAACAGCAACACTGGGTCACTTCCCCCTCTGAGGTGGACGCAGGTAGCTGTTCCTGTCATGCAGAAACTGCGGGCAGAATGGCTGGCTCACGGGGTATGCAGTCAGCTTTGGTGGCATCTGCCGAACGATCTCCCATGTGCTTGGACTCCTATGACGCCCCCCCGACCCCTCCCAGCTCCCTACACAGTGGTATGTGTCCGCCAGAGGCTCGGAAAGGCCCACAGGGCCGCTCACCGTGGAACTGCCCCCCAGGGCCTAGGCAGGAGGGTGGGCATCCCACAGCAAGGCGGACTCGGGAACACCCCTGAGGTAGACGCTCCCTGGAGGGGGACGTCTGGGTCGAGGGCCTCTGTTCGGCTTCCCTGGTGCGAGCCCTACAAGTGCCACGGGCCAGGAGGCAGCCACACACTCACCTTGATGTCACGGTACACCACGTCCCTCGAATGCAAATACTCGAGGGCAGAGACGATCTCTGCGCCATAAAAGCGAGCCCGCTCCTCCGTGAAGACACGCTCCCGGGACAGGTGGAAAAACAGCTGCCAGAGGAGGGAGGGGGCAGGTCAGAACTTAGCCCAGAGGAGTGAAAAACAGGACCCTGCCCACTGGCCCCCAACACCCAGCCCAGTGACGCGGTGACACCTACTCCATGAACCTCCAAGTGACAGCGAGAAGAACCAAGTGAGAGACGGCGAGCAGGGAAGAACTCTCGTGAGGAAAACAGAGAGTGAGGCAGGAAGAGAGAAGGAGTCAGGAGGTGCCAAGGGGAGAGTAAGCGGGGACAGCAGGATCGTATGAGGAAACGGGAACGAGGGAGTGACAGTGAGAACGCACAGGAACGCAGGTCAGGAGCAAGTGAAAACAAGCCGTGAGACAGATGGGATAGATGAAGCCGAGAAGGAGCCAGAGGGTGATGCCTGTGTGCAGAGAGAAGAGTATGAGGGATGAGGAGCAGGTGAGTCTGAGCCAGAGCAGCGGCCCACTGACAAGTGACGGACTCCCAGCAGGAGAGCGTGGGGAAAGCAGAGCACTGACTGGCCTGTGCTCCCGCACCCCATTTTCCTTGCAGCCTTTCAGGGCACCCTCCATAGCGTGCTGGTCACCCGCCCACAGTCCTCTCCACACCTCGGGGCCTGGGTATGCATCCTGCAGCCCCCGACTCACTAGCTGGGTGAACCTGGGCAAGACACTTAACCTCTCTGGGCCTCAGTTTTCTTGCCTATAAAATGAAGGTTCTGATGCCTGCCTCAAGAGAGGGAGGGGGAGACGAAGTGATACCCAGCAAGGCCCCCTCCACCCCCTCCATCTCTCCCACGGTTCCCCTCCACCCCCAACGCCTGGGAAGGAGATGTGGGAGCCCTGGCTGGGGGGCTGCCACCCACCTCACCACCATTGGCATACTCCATCACGAAGCACAAGCGGTCATGGGTCTGGAAGGCGTACTTCAGGGCCTGTGGGACAGGAAGGTGGCCAGGGTGGGAGGTGGGAAGAAGGCAGGCGCTCTGCTGATTCTGCAGGTACCCCCCCGCCACCCTGGCAGCAGGGGCTCAAACTTCAGCTTTGCCTTTTGGGGTACATGAGTGAGCCTGTGGCCCTGAGAACAGGGAAGGGGGTACTGGGCTGAAGGATGCTGTCTTCAGCCTTCAACTAAAGCTTCTGCGAGGCATGGCCAGGGAGACATTCGGTTCTGAGCAACCAGAGCTGTTTTACCGCTCTGCTCCACAGCCAGGTGTGTTGCATGCACGCACCCACACATGTGCATGCACACACATTTCCTGGACAGGAACTGGCAGTGGCTTGGGAGCCAACCCCAAAGACAGGATGGACAAATGATCTGCCAATAAATAGCAGTTCTCATACTATGCTCTAAGGAGCCCTACAGAAAGTTCCTTAGGGAATCCCTGAGTGACCCCTTTGCTCATAACAAATCTACTATTCTCTGTCTTCTACATCAAAATACCTCACAGATTTCAACTGAACAAGTGCCAGGGCTTAATACAACACCTGGTTAGCAGCTGAGCTAAGGAAACAACCCATCCCAAAGCCATCCTCCACCTGGTCCACTTAACTGATGGCTGCTGGCCTTGATGGAGACTGGAGCCCAAAGAGATGCCTCCTCAGACTAACCTGACAGGCAGCATAAGAATACATCTTCCAGGATCACATTTAAAAACAGACAAAAAAAATAATGTTCCCGCTTTGACCAGCTGGCCTATAGGCCTCTAACTCATAAAGAGTAGCCATGCTGTTCTGGAGGCACCCCGTAATGTGGTACCATCAGTCAGCTGAAGCACTGCCATGAAAACACCGTCTATGAAGAAGCTGCCACCACTGGGATTTAGTTCAAGCCATCCAGGGAGCCCAACACCACCTGGCCCTGGCCACTTGGCCGACACTAAGTCCATGCTTCAGGGTGGCAGGGTTGGGCTCTTTTCCTGAGCTCCGACTAAAGCAGGTCCTGCATGGCATACAGGGAAGGCCAGGCCCTGCCTGAGAGGGAAGAACCACTCACGGTGAGGAATGGGTGCCTGGTGTTCTGGAGGACGCGGCTCTCGGTGACCGTGTGGGCGACTTCATCCTGCAAACAGAGGCTGGGTAAGGGGCTGGAGGGCAATGCCACCCCCACCCTGCCCCCACCTGAGGGATAGGGGGGCAATGCTTCGGTGAAATGCACTTCCATTCCTAGCCGCTACACGGAGAATGGCAGGAGGGGAACAGTGCCATCCGCAAGCCAGACTGAAATAATGGCCCCGTGGCGCCAGGGGGTGCTCAGTGAGTTAATAAGCATCTGACTCTGGGTTTCAGCTCAGATCATGGTATCATGGGTTGTGAGATCCAGCCCCTCGTAGGGCTCCCTGCTCAGCTGGGATCTACTTGAAGATTCTCTCCCTCTGCCTCTCCTCTCACTCATACTTTCTCTCTCAAATAAATAAATATTGAAGAAAAAAAGCAAGAATGGCCCTAGACAAGGCCAATCAGTGGCTCACTCTCAAAGCCATGTGGTGAAGTCAATGGGGACTTTATGACACAGGGATTGAACTATATCACCTGTTAAACCCACTGGCCAATTTTTGCATCCCTATGGAGAGACAAGCAGACACTGTAAAACCCTTGAGGTGACATCACAGGCAGTGGGAATCAGCACCTATTAAGTGTTACTGCTGAGAAAAGGAAGTGGATCTGATCAGGACTCTAGCTGAGAGCAGTGATTCCCAGCGTGTGGTCCCTATACTGGCAGCATCATGCTGCCTGGGAATTTGGGAGAAATGCACATTCTCAGGCCCCTCCCAGATCCACCAAAACAGAAACTTGGGGGTGGGCCCAGCACGGGCTTCACAGGCCCTGTACACCACTCTAACATGGGCTCAAGTCTGATATCTGTGCACACAGCAGGCCCCTGGAGAGCTGCTAAAAAGTCCTGAACTGCCTGCAGTACGAGGACACTGGCTCTTCCTGGGGTGTCCATCCGGAGACACTGATCATGTCTGAAGACATTTTTTTTTAAAGATTTTATTTGACAGAGAGAGAGAGAGAGAGAGAGCATGAGCAAGCACTAGCAGGCAGAGCAGCAGAGGGAGAGGGAGAAGCAGACTCCCTGCTGAGCAAGGAGCCTGATGGAGACTTGATCCCAGGATCCTGGGATCATGACTTGAGCTGAAGGCAGATGCTTAACTGACTGAGCCACCCAGGCACCCGTGAAGACATTTTTGATGGTCATAATTTGGTGCCAGTGGCTTTAGGGGTGAAGGCCAGGGCACTGGACAGCCCCATTGCAAAGAATGATCAGGCCCCCGAGGCCGATAATGCTGAAGCTGAAGAAGCCTGCCTTGGACCAATCACATTGGGGGCTGTTAGTTTTCCTCGATGAGATCATAGTTCCATTATAATCCTTAAAATTTTCATCTGTTAAAGATACATACCTAAGTAAAATGATAGATGTCTAGAACATGCCTTAAAATACTCCAGAACAAACAAAGAGGAGGGCAGAGCTAATGAAACAAGACGGATCAAATGTTGACAATTGTAGACATTGGCTGTTGGCTACATGGGAGCCCACTGTATTTATTTTTCTTTTAGACGCTTTGTGTATGTCAGGAATTTTCCATTTTAAAAACTTTAAAGGGGAAAAAAAAGGAACAGAATTCCATTCTGGCCCAGCCTCCTACCCTTAAGGCCTCCCCACTGGCCCATTCGGCCACAAGAGATCTGCTATCAGGCCCTGATAGCCTGCTGGGTGAGGCCCAGTCAGACTCTCCATCTTAGGCCCCCGGGCACCCAGAGGGTGGGGTGGGTGGCCTCAGGCTCCCCGAAGGCACACAGGAGCTTGGTCCCCACCACAGAGGCCAGCCAGCGGCACCCCCGGGGCTCCCACCTTGGCGATGATAACTTCCTTCCGCAGGATCTTCATGGCGTAGTAGCGGCCACTGGCCTTTTCCCGCACCAGAATCACTTTGCCAAAGGTGCCCTTGCCCAGAAGTTTGAGATAGTCGAAGTCATTCATGGTCTGCCCAGGAGGGGGAGAGAGTGGAGCAGTCAGTGCTTGGCATGTGGCCCATGGGAGACATTTTAACAAAGAGAAAGGAAGAATCGAAGGACACTGTTGCCAAAATGCTCAGGAATGAGCAGGACCGGAGGCTCTGGGCAGCAACTGTTTGCTCTGAAGTGGCCTTCAGACCAAGGCTCTCCCAGGCAGGGGGCCCCGGGAGGCAGAGATATGGGGTTAGACAGGTCTTCACAATCTCTGTGGATGTGGCTCCCCTCACAGGGACAAAGAGCAGCCCTGTGGTACGCCAGCACCCCCAGACATCACCCAGCCTACGGGGCGGTCATGAAGTGCCCCTGCTGCACCCTTGCACCCTCTGTACAGAAACCAAGGGTGGCAAAACCAGTGTCAGTGAGGAGAGGGGTGCTCACAGCCTGGCAGCCTGCCCCCCCCCCCCCCCCCGCAGCACTTACCACCTTGGCCCGAGCCTTGCTAACAGCCACTTCCATCTCCTCAGCCGCAGAAGGGTCGCTGGGAGAGCCACACTTATAGTCCATGGGGTCCTCACCCGGGCCCCGCTGCTTGAGGCTGTTGGCGACCATCTGAATGGCCCGCATCCACTCCTCCCTGTTAGGGACATGCCAGAAGAGCCATGATTCCCAGGGAGCCTGGGCAAGAAGGACAGAGCCCCATCCCCTCCAAGGGGAGCAAATGACCAAACGCCCTTGAGCATTCTGAAGAGATCTGTCTGAGGTTAGGGTGAGCTGATGGGACAGGACTGAAATTTTACAGATCCTCTGGCTGCAGTGCATAAAAGAGGGCCAGCGCAGAATAACAGACTATTATCTATGTCCTAGGAGTGGCCTGGCCTGAGAGCCACCTGAAGTGAGCAGTAATCAAATGACCCAAGCAGGGAGACCATCTTTCCTCACAGCCCCTTGAAAACGAGCCACCACCTGGACTCTGGAATAAGGGAAACACGGTGCTCCTCGGGGTTCCTCCCAAACAAATGACAAGCACAATGTTTTGTAAAAACAAACCAAGAGTAAAAGGAAGAAAGAATTCATTAGCCAAAAGAAGCTGAAGATCTCACATGGCAAGATCACTGCAGGGAGGAGGCTGTCTGCCAGGAGGGCTCTGGGACAGGGGTTCCTAGTGGGACAGGGACAGAAAACAGAAGGTGGCAGACAAGGAAGCAGCCAAAAGGAGCCTGGTTTAAGAATAAACTATTTCTGTCACTCACAATGTAGAACTTGCTCAGAAATAACTTTCTTTGGATACTTGCAAACCATTCTGTCTCTAGAAAAGGAAAATAGATCTAGGAGAAATAAGTGAAAACAACCAGAGACCACAAAAAAGAAAGGAGGAGGCTGAATGATACTCAATTTTCCATTCCCCTCCCATGTCTGACTCACCACACAATTTTAGGTGGCTCAACCCAGTATATGTTGAACCCTCCACGGATTCTGTGTCTATAAAACAGCCACCACGTGAACAGCAACAAAGATAAAAAGCACACTGAGAAGGAAAAAATTCAAAGAGCATAAGCAGGTAACTTCCCAAATCACAGATAAGCCTCAGGGAGGCTGGCCAGTCAGCCACACATCTTCCAGAATCAGCTCCAGCCTCAGGCAGCAGGGAAAACTGCCTGCACTCCTGAGCCACTGAGGCCCCTGGCCAAGGTCATGCAGAGAGCAAGTGGCCTGGGAGCTGGGGCCACCCTGCTGGGCTGCGCTAAGCCTCCACGCCGTCATGTCCCAAGAGCACTAGAGCTACTTCAGACAGTCCAGCAGCCCCACGGCACACATCTTCCCACGTTGTGATAACTGCTGGAATCTGGGTGCATCTTATGGTTGGTGGTCTATCTTGACTGGGTTTACCGAAAGGTGGCCACAGGACTGAGCTCCCCAGGTGCTGGGAAGTTCAGGGAATGTGTGTGAAACATCTATGCAAGGGGCGCCCTGCAGCTCAGAAAAAGGAGGGAGATCTATATACGGACTTGAGATGACCTCGGACATCTTAAGGGACAAAAAGAAGGTGTAGAACAGTGCTGAGTGTCACACTATAGGACTTAGAAACAAAAGGAATATGTGCACAGGCACATGTGTACACACTAGCATGGACATCTCTGGAAGGATGTGCTTGACACAGAGCCCTGGCTGCCTCCAGGAAGGGGAACTGGGAGTCAGGGGCAAGGAGGAGTCTCATTCTGCTGTCCCCCAATCGCCAACAGTCCCAGAGCACTCCCCTCTCCTTTTTCATTACAGATGGGGAAACTGAAGCACAGGTTTAAAAAACCAAAGTCAAGAAAAACACAGTGGGTCCTGTGAGCCTGGTAGCTGGAAATCACAGAGGGCCTGTGATCTTTCAGAGCCGAAGGGCAGGGCCATTCTTGCTTAGTTCCTGGGCTTGCTGAACCAAGCAGTCACCACCGGAGGCCCCGGTTCACACCCAAAAGATCCAAGTCTCAAAGTGACCTTGCTCACAGGAGATGGTGCTTCATAAGACAGTTGTGTGAATACTGCCAGCATCAACATCAAGCGCCAGCACACTGGCCATTCCTGGGCTGGATCTGGGGGCCCCAGAACACGTATGTCAGGCCCACGAGGGCAGGGATTTCATCTACTGGTAGGTGGTACAAGGCAGCACCTGAACAGGCACTCTGTAGGTATCCGGGGAATCAGTGAGCAAGGCGGCCAAAGTTCAAGAGGCCCCAGACCCAGTGCACACAGAGGCTCAGTGCACACCCAGGCAGATCACACCCAGGACGGGTACACATGGAGACCCAATGAGCACCCACACCGATTATACCAAGGCCCAGCACACATGCAGGCAGAACAACAGTGGCCTCTTCCCTCTCTGAGCCAACACCTCAGGCTGCCATTTCTCAACTTGTTTTAACCCATGACCTCTTTGGGACAAATTACAGTATAAATCCCTAACCCTGAATTCATATTTCTATTTTTCAGAAAATGGGGAAGGGGTGGCACATCCCATGGTACACTTTATCAGATCATAATTGTCCTCTTAGAAATTTTTATTTTTTTTTTTATTTTTTTTTATTTTTTTTTTTAGAAATTTTTATTTTTTTAAAGATTTATTTATTTATTCATGAGAGACACAGAGGAGAGAGAGACAGAGACAGAGACAGAGACCTAGGCAGAGGGAACTCCTGCATGGAGCCAGACGTGGGACTCGATCCTAGGTCTCCAGGATCATGCCCTGGGCTGAAGGCGGCGCTAAACTGCTGAGCCACCTGGGCTGCCCTCTCTTAAAAATTTTAAATGCTAAAAAAAAAAAAAGAAAATTTTAAATGCTGACTTCAGGTATAACCATGGATTGAAAAGAAAACAGATCACTGGGGCACCTGGTGGGGGGGGGGGGCTCAGTTGGTTAAAGCATCTGACTCTTCAGCCTAGGTCTTGATCTCAGGTTGTGAGTTCAAGCCCCACGCTGGACTCCATGCTAGACATGGAGCCTGAAAAGAATAGAAAAAAAATAAATTACCCATCTCCTAAAAGACATTAGAAAGAATAAAATATGTATATATCTCACATATAGAGATCTTAAGAGATTGTCACACGAAAAAAAGCAAGTTGAAGGCTAAGATGCAAAGTGTGCCATCATCTGTTTATAAGGGAGGAGAACACAGTCCATCAACAGAAGCCTGGATAAATAAATGATGGTTCATCCACACCATGGAAACACTGGAAGCAGCACCAAGGGGCCTCTCTGGGCCGCAGAGCTGGTGATGTGATGCATGGGCTCAAATAGCAACTCTGCCACCAGGGCCAGATGACCCCTCCTCAATAGACTAGGGTCACTGAGATGCAGGTGAGCCACTATGTATAGAGCACAGCACACAGGAAGTGTTCAAGGAAGGTGTTCGAGATGCTGGGTGAGGCCTGGACCCAACCCATCCACCCTGGCTCATGATGCCCAGGCCCACAGGAAGCCAAGGAACCCACAGACATGGAGGAGGTTGTGCAGGGGTAACGGGCTCTCCTGCTGCCAGACAAGCCCCCTATCCTGTTCCAACTGGACCAAGATTGCAAAGTTGCAGCACAGAATTCCAGAGAAAAAGCAAGGGCCTCTGTCCAGGATACTCCTTAAGGGTTTGCAACATGGTGTGTCTGGGGCAGAGGGGAGCTCCCACCCCAGAGCTGGGGCTGCTATGTCTTCCACCCGTCAAAGGAGAGCTCCCAGGGGAACCAATCCCCTTCCCCCAGACACATGATGGGAAAAAAAAAAAAGCTTCTTCCATACTCATCGAGAACACTGGAGAGAGGGGGGCATTTCTGATGTGGAAATCGAGGCACATAGAGATGGAGTCACTTGTAGGGGTCATGCAAACAGGAGGTGGCAAAGCTGAGACTCACACCCTGGCCCTTGTACTCCTGGCACCATGCCGCCACTCCCTGATGAGAATTAGCTTCCTTCCCAGATGAGGCCTGGGAGATTAAGCAGGGCCCTCTCACAGAAGACTCAGGGAATAAGGGACACTGATGCCATGGAGCTGGGGTGGGAGTGAAGGAAAGTCACCCACTGGAAGTTCTGACCTTGGCCACTGTTGTGAGAGGGGCCTCCCTCACCAGACAGCAATAGAAATGCCGTGGCTCTTGGAGCACACTGTGGCCAGAAGCTGCGCAGGTGCTTTATGTGCCATAAACCTGAGTTGGCCCACAACCCTCCCAAGTAGGTACTGCTACTCACCTCATTCTATAAAAGAGGAGACTGAGGCATGGAGACGTAAGCATGTGACCAATTACACAGCCTGTCAGCAGAAGCTGCAGGTCACAAATCCGTGTCCCTACGGCCCTCGAAGCACTTCTGTCAACTGAGTACTTTCGGGTAGCTTCTCATCCTTCGTGTGGGCTCTGGGGCCTTGGGAAGCACATGGGGGGGAGCCCTGCTCCCCCAGCAGCACTAAGCGGAATGCAGACCTGCTCAGGAGGAGGCCTCTGGGCCCGGAGCTCAAGTCCACAGCAAACTGCTATGGGGCCCTGTGAGACATCACTTCTCATCTGCCTCCCATGCATCAGGGCATGACACATTGGCTGAAAAGCAGACTCTGGAGCCAATGGCCTGGCATGAGCCCTGGGTCTTCCCTTCCTGGTGGCAATGCCGGGCCATCTGACTTTCCCGTGCCTCAGTTGGCTGACATGTAGGGCTGGGACCAGTGGGTTGTGTGTGTTAAGGACAAAATGAGCAGGAGACAAAAAGCGCTTAGGGCAGTGCCTGGCCATGGAGCAAACACCTCAAAGGGCTGGAGTGAGAACTCACCCAGCCGGCTAGTGAATACTTCCTGAGCACTTTCAGTGTGCCAGGCCTGCATTCTGGTGCTGAGGGTGAAGCTGGGAAGCCTGGGGTGTGTGCGCAGAAGGCCTGGTAGGTGCCAGCCTTGCTGGGGTGACAGAGAGAGGAACTGAGGAGATAAGGGCAGGAGAGAGGACCAGCCCAGAATGGACTGGGCTCCACACAGCATTGTGTTAGGGATGGATGTCTTCATCCTTCATGGCCTGGGAAGCCGCTAAAGGGTTTGTGCGGGGGATGACGGATCTAATTTCTGTTTCAAGTCTGCAGCTACAGTGGGATGTGAATTGCGGGTAGGGAGAGGAAGCATCAGGAGACTATGGCAGTCCTCCAGGCCAAGGGTGCCAGGTGGCAGAGGGGATGGAGAAGAGAAAAGGCACCAGTACATGCAATTCCATGGGGGCAGCCTGGGCCAGCCGCTTCCTCCTCTGTTCCCCACCATGGCCAAGGCCCTGAGCTCCAGTGAGGGTGGCACAGCGCTGGTCCTATTCTGCAGCCTGAGGCAGGAAGTGTGTCTAGCATGTTTAAGGAATTGCAGAGAGATCAATGTGACTAAAGTGAGGCAACTAGCAATAGAAAATGATTCTGGGGGTGCCTGGGTGGCTCAACTGGCTAAGCGTCTGCCCTGGGCTCAGGTACATGATCCCAGGGTCCTGGGATCAAGCCCTATGTTTTCAGGTTCCCTGCTCAGCAAGGAGTCTGCTTCTCCCTCTGCCCCTGCTCATGTGTGCGTGCTCTATCTCTGTCTCAAATGAATAACTAAAAATCTTTTTTTTTAAAGGGAAAAAAATGATTCTGTAGAAAAGACCAGATCATGTAGCACTCTGTAGAATATGACATAAACTAGGGCGCCTGGGTGGTTCAAGTCTGGTTAAGTGGCTGACTCTTGATCTCAGCTCAGGTCTTGATCTCAGGTCCTGAGTCTGAGCCCCCTACTGGGCTCCACACTAGACACTGGAACCTACTTAAAAAAAAAGAGGGGGGTCCCTGGGTGGCTCAATCAGTTGAGCATCTGACTCTTGATTTCGACTCAGGTCATGATCTCAGGGTCATGGGATCAGAGGGGAGTCAGCTTGTCCTCCCTCTGCTCCTCCCGAGCTTCTGCACTCTTTCCCTTTCTCTAAAAAAAAAAAAAAAAAAAAAAAAAAAAAAAAAAAAAGAATATGGCATAAACTCTGGAGTTTACTCCCCAGTGGAAGTAAAGCCACTCAGAATCCTAAGCAGAGAAATGACATGGTAAGAGTTACATTAAAAAGGTCATAACAATGTGATGCACTATTAAGTGTACCAGCTAAGACAAAACGTCTGCGAACTTCTCCTGTAAACCACCACGGAGTAAATATTTTAGGCTTTGTAGGCCACACGATCTCTGTTACAACTATTCAGCTCTGCCACAGTGGCAAAAGCAGCCATAGATAGTCTAGAAATGAATGGGCACAGTGTGTTCCAATAAAACTTTCTTTGCAAAAACAGGAGGCTGGGGCCATGGTTTGCCAACCCTGCTCAGGCCCTAATTTCCGGTTTATAAGAAATATAGGCAGAGAGGAACAAAGTAAACAATGCCAAAAGGCAGTAAGATAACACATCCTGAGTGTGAGACATTCTACAAGACAACTAGCCCGGTTTGTGAAAAACAAAAAACAAAAAACAAAAACCACATTGTGTGAGGGGAAAAGACAGGGCTCAACGAGGTAAAAATAGGCCAAAGAGACACGTACCTTGAACGAATCGAAGTTTGAAAAACATTTTGAGGACAACCGGGGAAATCCTAGTAGACATGGCCACGGAGAGGGGATTGGGAAATACCTACAACGCACAGTCACCTCAGGTATGGTAACAGCATCATGACTCTATAGGAGAAAGTCCTTATTCTTAGCAAATGCTTGCTGACGTATAAGGAGCAAAGTGTCAAGACGAAGTGCACAATTCAGCAGAAAACAAAGCCAGATAAGGCAAACCCAGCAGATGCTGGATGGGTGAGTCTAGGAGCAGGGTACCTGGGTGTTTGTTTCCTATAGTATTCTTGCCATGTTCCCGTGCCTCTCAAACAACGTGGCTGGGGTGGGGCAGAATTTAGGGGAAGGCAGGAGAGGCTACCAGGAGCCCTGGGGAGCAGGCCACTGTGGCATCCAGACAACACCCCTACCCCGCACCCCACCTCTCCCCAGGCTCGGGCCTGTGTGGGGCAGGCCGGTGAGGCCAGCCGGGAGTGGGCACCCTCCCTCTTGCTAGCTCTCACCTCCCCCAGGGCTAAGGTCAGGAATGGGGGGGGGGGGTCTGGCCTCAGAGCAGCTCCAGCAGATTTCTTTCCAGCAGGAGCAAATGCTAAGAAAAGGAGCAAGGCGGAGACTGCCCACCCCCTACAGTCCTGGTAAAGGATTCTTTCCCTTGCTGAAGAGCCCAGAATCTCACTAAAATGCAAAGCAGAGTGGGGCTCTTGCCTACAACACTTTACCCACTCCCCACTGCTCCTTCTCCAGGCTTGTGAATGGTGTGCCACGTACTGCTGAATCAAGGGTTTCCTGTTTATCAGCTCCCTGAATCTCTGAGAGATCTTGTGACAAACCCCACCTGATTCATGAGCATGGAGCCCTGGAGGGAACTCCCTCTGGAGTCCACGACCTGGCTGAACTCACTGGCTTCAAGGCCTCCCCTTGTCCTCTCCCAAGGCCCCTGGCCCATGGTTCTTTACTGATGCAGAACTCTCTGTGGTTCCTGAGATGACATCCTGTCTCACCTCTGGGCCTGAACACAAGCTAGTCCCTTTTTCTGGAGTCACCTCGGCCAACACCCAGGCCCTATGCACCTACTGGTCTCCATTTGTTTTTACTGGCAGCCCACGGTTTCTTCTGTCCCCAGCTTTCAATGGAGTAACCCCTCAGCTGGCCTGAGATGGTAGGTAGTTCTGCTATGCAGGGCAGGCATAATTTAACTTTGGGAAGCCACACAATGACAATTACAGTACAGATTGTGGAAATACACAATATCATTTTGTGTGTCCTCCGGATATGCACTGTCCAAGGGGGGAGCCACCAGCTATTTATGGCTACTTACGTTTAAGCTGATTAAACAAAGACAAAAATTCCATTTTGCAGTCTAGCCACATTTCACATTTCCAAAGCACCTGTGGCTACTGGCCCCCCTCTCAGATACCACAGGTATTCAATATTTCTATCATGGCAGAAGGTTCTCGTGGGTGGCACTGTTTTCCTGGATTCTCCACAGCGTCAGCTGAATCCTCACCCCCACCCCCAGCCAAGCCAAAGGAGTGTTTCTCAAAGTGAGGTCCAAAGGGACAAAGTGGGGAAAAAGATACTTGCTACTCATTACAAAGGTCTAAGCTCCCTCATACAGAAAGAACTTTCAAGAAAAAGACCAACTACTCAACTGAAAAATAAGCAAAGGTTACGAACAAACAGTTCGGAACAGGAAACTCACGTGACCTTGAACGTTGGGGAGGATGCTCGAACTCCCCCATAAAGACAAAACGACCAGTGAAAACCACCTTCAGGTGCCACTTCTCACCGATCAAACTGGTAAAAATCCAAACGTTTGAAAACACAAGGCTGCAAGGACATTCAGACATCACCGAAGAGAAACACTTCTCAAAATCACCAGTGCATGTTCCCTGTGACCCAGAAGTCCCATGTCTAAGAATTCCTCTTATAGATTCACCTGCACATATGTCCAACGAGGTAAGCATTCAGGTACTTCACCGTGGCCCCACCTGTAATGAGCCACTGCCCAGAAACAACCCCAATCATCATTCGTAAAGAACTGCTAAGTAAATCTGAGGACACAGATGCGCAGCTGCTGAAGACAAAACCAGAGCCAGCACGGCGGAGGTGGCTCTCTGTAGGCTGAAGCAGAAAGATTCCCCAAGACCAAGAAAGTAAAAAGGGAGAGTTCAGAAGTCTGTGTACAATACTACCTTTTGTATAAAAAGAACCAGCCAGGGGAGCAGAGTGCAAAAGTCTATCTGAATGAGCTCGTCCACCCATGAAGCTCTCCAAGGACACAGATGAACGGTCAGCACGGGACTGTATGTGACAGACACCTCCTGACACTGTTTGATTTTTGAACCAGGTAAATCTGTATCATCTCTTCCAATGACTAAACCAATTGTTTTAACCATCCGCTTCAAAATCAGTGACTATAGTCATTAAAAATGCAGCTCCCTGACCCCCACCCCACAGATTTGCAGACAATGGGAGGGCCTGAAGTGGGCCCAAAGCTTCATACCATTAAACTCTCCCCATGATTCCAGTGCACCCTCCAGTCTAAGAACACAGAAGAAAGTCTGTAGACTAAGAACCCCTGCTCTTTCCAGCTCTCAGCAGAGCTCAGACAGGAAACTCCTAGGCAGGGGCCCAGGGGACTCTGTCCTGGCTACTCTCAAAGGGCGGCCACACAGAGGCTGCAACTCGCCTCTCATCTGGAGAGTCTACGTGGAAGGTCCTCTCGATGACAGTGGTCCACTGCAAGCAGCGTATGACAAAGGTGTTGGGCCGTGGCCTCTCAGTCTTCATCAGCTGGCATTCTGTAGACAAAGAGAGAGGACAGAGCCAGGAGAGTGAGGACCACAGCCCTGCCAGCCTGCAGCCCACATGGCCTGAGCCACCTCCTGCACTCCAGATGGTGTGGTGATACGTTAGTGACTGAGTCAGCCCTGGCCTTGTCTCTGTGGGGCTCAAGGTCCAGAGTGTGTTGGGGAGGGGGCCAGACCACCAGATGATGACAGCCCAGTGGTCAGGCTTGTGAAGGGGGAAGCCCAGGGGGCAGCCAACCTAGCCCAGAGTTCAGGGGGCATCCCAGAGGAGCGGCGTCTCTGCACTGAGCCCTCACGGACAACAGAATGTAGTGAGCCTACAGAAGGGTGTGTCACATACAGAAGCCCAGAAGTGCAACAGAGTCCAGCACAGCAACGGAATGGTGGACTCTGCTCTAGATGTAAGAAGGGGAGAAGAGAAGGGCAGGCTGGAGGTGGACAGGGCTCGGACTGCAGGGTCCAGGGTGTGTGGTGAGGAACCTGGACTTTGTCTTGAGGACAACAGGGAGCCACAGAAAGTTTTCAATAGGGAAAAGACACAAAGAGATTTAGACAGATCCCTCTGGCTGCCAGAGACAGTAAGAGAGAAGGGAGGCCAGGGGCCCAAGGAGAAGGCTGGGACCACACCACAGTGGGGCCATGGGGAGAAGAGGGTAGACAGGGAGACAGGCCACAGGAGAGGTGAAGGCCACTAGGACAGGGCCCAGGCCTCTGGCCTGAGCACCAGTGGACAACACAGCCCTCCCTGGGAGAGAGACAGAGTAGGAGAGGCTGGGGAGAGGAGTTGAGGCCAGTTTGCGACAGGGTGGGGAAGCAGGATTGGAGGACACCCAGGGAGATATGCACAAGTAGCTGCTCAGGATAGGCTGAAGTTCAAGTGAGAAGCTGGTGTGAGGCACAGCCACATTGGGGTCACCACAACACAGAGAAAGTGACCAAGACAAGGCTTTAAGCAGGACAGAGAGGGGACTGGAGCTGGATTCAGAGTCATGGGTGGGAGTGGCTTCGGGTGCTGCTGGGCAAGAAGCGGGAGCAGGGAGCTGGGTGGGAGAGGGTGATGGTCTGGACTGAGGAGCTAGCTGCCTCTTAGGAAGTAGGACAATGAGGATGTGGAGATCGATTCAGGTGCCAGAGCAGGAAGGAAGCAGGGAGTCAGGGGCAGGACTGTGGTTCTGTAAGGCCCAGGCAAGGGACTGGGGTCTGGTAAGCTTTCACTGGCCAGGGTCCAGCTGGAAGGCACCACTTGGGGTACCACAGGGGACAGAGGATGTGAAGTTAGCTCTGCCATCAGCTGAGCGGGAGGCCACACTGTCTCTAGGTTAGAGGGACAGAGAAGTGGGCTGTTACCAGAGCGAAGGACAGCAGGCACCTGACACCAACCAGAACCATGGGGCCTGGCCGGCAGATTCAGAACCGCAGAGGCGGTACTGCCTGGGGCGAGGGGCTGGGGAAATGCCTGGCTTCTCCCTTCTTCCTGCTCCCCACTGGCCACCAGTTCAGCCTTCCCACCCCAGGCTCAGCTGACACAAAGGTGGGGCAGGTGGGAAGGGTGGGAGATGGATCCGAGGGCAGGCAGGCCCCAGAGAGGCCCATGCCTGAGAAAGGCCAACCCCATGTGCCCCTGGACCTGCCAGTGGTTCCTTGAGCACCTGAACTCTGGCGTGGCATGTCCCGAGACGCACCTGCGACAGAGAAGTTGTTCAGGGGGGGCAGGGTCTGGTCAGGGGCGTCAGGCCGCTCCTTGTATCCAATAAAGGAGCCGTCACTCTTCAACAGGAAGTACCGGGGCCTCCAGGTCTTGATGTATTCACCTGAACAGTGGCGGGGGGGGGGGGGGAGAGGTGAAGGTGGGCAGCCCTGTGTGACAGCACCTCACAAAGGGTGCCTGGGTGGGAGGAGGGTTGACGAGAGGGCAGAGAGGAGAGTACCTCTCCTAAAGAAAACCTCCAGGCAGCCCCTGCTGACGCAGGCTGGGCACTGGGCTGGGCCCCAGTGATCCAGAGGTCAGGCCTGGCAGGAAGGTGCCTGCTGCAGCGCCCCAGGGCACCAGCTGCCTCAGCGTGCGGCCAGCGGCAAGCCATCCCGGCTGTCCTTGCCAGCGCATGGCCCGGTCCCAGGGGAGGCCCAGGCTTCCAAACACACATGCCCTGTGGCCCTGTAAGGCCAAATCCCACGGGCTGGTATTCACCAGGACAGCCGTGCAGGTGGATCAAATGTCAAAACACTGTGCCAGGCAGGGTGTAACTGCTGCTGCGCCCTATGAGTGCCCCTTCATTGCTTTCATTTGTTCAAACCGTGAATATCCCAGCACCTCATGTACACATGTCCATACTGCAAAGACCCACTACTCAGAGGGCTGCTAAGGATTAAAACAAGATGGTGAAACAGACCTACAGAAAACTCATGTGTAAATGTCCACAGCAATATTATTCGTAATTGTAAAAAGGGGAAACTTGAAGTCCATCAACTAATGAACGAACAGACAAAACAAGGCATAAACATACAATAGAATATTATTCAGTCACATGAAGAAATTATCACTGCATGCTGCAGCTTATGCTAAGTGAAAAATGCTTCTCATGAGGGACCACAAATTATAATTCCATTTGTATAAAATGTCCAGAACAGGCAAATCTATAGGTGAAAAGCAGATTAGTGGCTGCCCAGAACTGGGAGGGGGTGGGGGAAGCCAGGGGGGGAGGTTGGAGGGCAATGGCCAAGGGGGAGGGCAGCTTCCTTTCCAGGAGAGTTAAAATGCTTTAAATTGACTGCAGTAGGGGGCCCCAAACTCTGACTACACCAAAAGCCACTGAACCATGTATTTTAAGTGGCCGAATTGGGGGTGCCTGGGTGGCTGTCTTGTCTGCCTTTGGTTCATGTCATGATCCCACCAGGGTCCTGGGATAGAACCCCATGTTGGGCTCCTTGCTGAGCAGGGAGTCAGCTTCTACCTCTGACCCTCCCCTGTCTCATGCTCTCTCTCACTCTCTCTCGCGCAAATAAAGGGATAAAATCTTGAAACAAATAAAAATAAATAAATGGCCAAATTGTATGGTGTGTGAATTCTAGTTCATGCTGTTAAAAAACATGAGATGGCAACCATAAGACACCCAGCTTAGGGCCCAACACACCACAGGTGCTCAATAAATGCTTCTTATCAGCCCACTATGCAAGGAGGCAAGCAAAAAAAGGCTGTGCTAGGGCCCTTGTTCACTTGGCACATGGGAGACAGGATGGCAGGGTGGGCTCTCAGCTGGGTGTGCTGTGTGGCCTCCAATAAGTCACTTCACTTCTCTGAGTCTTTGTCTCTTCTCATGGGGATCTCCATTAACTGATGACAATGATTAGGTGACACTCTAGTGGTACTCTGTGTCAGGAATTGCCCTAAGTATCTTTTAAGGACTTAACTTATTCAATGCTTTCCAATGTCGATATTACACGACTCAATGTACATAAAGTTCAAGAGCCAGGGGATCCCTGGGTGGCGCAGCGGTTTGGCGCCTGCCTTTGGCCCAGGGCGCGATCCTGGAGACCCGGGATCGAATCCCACGTCGGGCTCCCGGTGCATGGAGCCTGCTTCTCCCTCTTCCTATGTCTCTGCCTCTCTCTCTCTCTGTGTGTGACTATCATAAATTTAAAAAAAAAAAAAGTTCAAGAGCCAGCAAAATCCCAAATCCAATAGCACAAAGGAAGGATTATACGACATGACCAAGAGGATTTGATCCCAGGAATGCAAAGGTGGTTCAATATATGAAAACCAGTCAACATAATACACATTAATAGAACAAAAGAAGGAAAAATTCACATGATCATCAGCAGAAAACTATTTGACAAAATCCAACATCCCTTCATGATAAAAAATACTCAGCAAGCTGAGAATAGAAGAGAATTTCCTCCACATGATAAAGGGCATTTAGGAAAACCCAGAGCTAGCATCATTCAATGCTGAAAGACTGACAACTTTCTTGTTAATATCAAGGAAAAACCAAGATGTTTGCTGCTTTCACCACTGCTATTAAACACTTCTGGCTGCACCAGAAGTTCTAGCCAGAGAAAAAGAAAAAGAAAGAGAGATAAAAGGCACCGAACTTGAAAAAGAAAAAGCAAAACTATCTATATTTGCAGATAACATGATCCTATATATAAAAAATCACAAGGAATCCACAAAGTAATGACAAGAGCTAATAAATGTGGCAAGATCAACACACAAAACCAGTTGTTGTTTCTGTACATTAGCAATGAACAATCCAAAAAGGAAATTTTAAAAATTTCCATTTACAGTAGCACAAGGAGTTAAAAGATGTACACACTAAAAACTACAAAATACTGCTTTTAATAAATAGCTCAATTAAAAAATGAACAAAGGGCTTGAACAGACATTGCTCTAAAGATGTAAAAATGGCCATGAAAAAATGCTCAACATCATTAGGTACTAGGAAAATGCAATTGAAAAGCAATAAGGAGGGATCCCTGGGTGGCGCAGCGGTTTGGCACCTGCCTTTGGCCCAGGGCGTGATCCTGGAGACCCGGGATCGAATCCCACATCGGGCTCCCAGTGCATGGAGCCTGCTTCTCCCTCTGCCTGTGTCTCTGCCTCTCTCTGTGTGTGTGTGTGACTATCATAAATAAATAAAAATTTAAAAGAAAAGAAAAGAAAAGAAAAGAAAAGAAAAGAAAAGAAAAGAAAAGAAAAGCAATAATGAGCTGCTACCTCACACCCACTAGAAGGATTGTAATTTAAAAGAGAGAGAAAAGAAAAGGGACGCCTGGGTGGCTCAGTCGGTTAAGCATCTGACTTTTCTTTTCTTTTTTAAGATTTTATTTATTTATTCATGAGAGACACAGAGAGAGAGGCAGACACATAGGCAGAGGGAGAGCAGGCTCCATGCAGGAAGCCTGATATGGTACTTGATCCCGGGACTCTAGGATCACGCCCTGAGCCAAAGGCAGACGCTCAACCACTGAGCCACCCAGGTGTCCCAAGCATCTGACTCTTGATTTCAGCTGAAGTCATGATCTCAGGTTGTGAGATGGAGCCCTGTGTTGGGCTCTGTCCTAGGCATGGAGCCTATTTAAGATTCTATCTCTCCCTTTCCCTCTGTCCTTCCCTCCTCTAAAAAACTTTAAAAATAAGCAAAATAATAATAGAGAAAGAAAACAAAAACAGAACAATGCTGGTGAAGATATAGGAGAAATGAAACCCTTGTGCACTGTTAATGGGAATGTCAAATGCTGCAGTTCTGTGAAAAGTCTGGTGCTTCCTCCAAAATTTAAATACAGAATACACTATAGATCATAAATACAGAATATACAACCCTGATACATACAGACATAAAAACATATATAATCACACAAATTGCATGTGATTATGATTATGGAATACATGACCCAATTTATTTTTATTTTTTAAAGATTTTATTTATTAATGAGAGACACAGAGAGAGAGGCAGAGACACAGGCAGAGGGACAAGCAGGCTCCATGCAGGGAGCCTGATGTGGAACTCGATCCCAGGTCTCCAGGATCACACCCTGGGCTGAAGGCAGCACTAAACCCCTGAGCCACCTGGGCTGCCCATGACCCAATTTATATAACCTGTAAAAATACAGATTATAAATATAAAACCTATGATCCAGCAATTCTACTCCCAGGTTCATACCCAAAAGAACTGAAAACAAGGGTTCAAAGGCTTGTACACAAATGTTTGTAGCAGCTCTATTCACAATAGCCAAAAGGTAGAAATAACCCAAATGTCTGCCACCAATGTATAGATCAACAAAATGTGGTATTTTCATACAATGGAAAGTTACATTAATGGCCATAAAAAGGAAAGAAGTAATCTCATCCATGCTACAATATGGATGAACCTCAAAGACATTATGGTAAGTGAAAGGGAGCTAGACACAAATGGCATTTCATTTTTATGAAATGTCCAGAACAAGTAAATCCTTAGACACAGAAAATAAAAATTGGTGGCTGCCGGGGGCTGGAGGACGGGGGCATAGGGAGTGACTGTTTAATGATGAGAATGTGTCAGAACTAGACAGAGGTAGAGGTTACACAACATCGTGAATGTACTAAGGGCTACTGAACTGTACACCATAAAATGGTCTTTTGTGTTACAGAAATTTCACCTTCATTTTAAAGAGCAAAACAAAACAATAAAACAGAAAAAACACACCTAAGGCTACCAGATATTAAGTGAGTGTTCCTGTGTGGAAAGGGCAGGGCAGAGGGCTTCTAGGGATGGTCTTGTTCTACTTCTTGATCTGGACATTGGTTTTGGAGTGAGTTTATGATCCAGGCACTCACCTGTGGTGTTTCATGTGTTGATAATAAGGGGGGAAAAGAAAAGAAAAGAAAGCTGAAAGGAAAGGAGAAACATCCTCACAACAATACCATTTTACAGATGAAAAAACTGAGGCCCAGAGAGGCTCCCAGAGACTCCTTACTTGTCCAAGGCTCAGGGGGAACTAGGAAAGCTGGGCTTGGAACTCAGGTTTGTTCCATCCAGAGTCCATGCCCTTGACCACTACACTGTCTGCCTTAGTAGTCCTGGCAGATGGGGGCTGGCCTGGAGGGGACCTGGCAAGGGGTGTGCTGAGGCTGTGTCAGAAAGGGGAGAAACACATGGTATGAGTGACTCCAAGAGTTGTTCTCTCACTTTGCCTGCTCCTTGAGCAGACCCTGCTCAGCAAGAGGTAGCCTGTGGGCCAGGCCTTGAGAGCACTGGTTTGAGAGGCAGAGGATAAGTCTTTGCTGAAACTTGGCGGTAAGGCAGTCTTCCTGCTGAACCTCAGCTTCCTTGCTTATAAGATGGTGCCCACCTCACAGGACAGATATGGAAATGCAACAAAATTGGACTTGCCTACAGCAGAGCCCCTTGTCCAGCACAGAATGGACACATGGTAAACTGAGGCTCTGTTATTTTAGCCATCACAGCTGGGGTGAGATGGCACAGGTGCCCACCTTCCCTTGCCCACCTCTGCTCGGAATGGTGGGTCATGGGGGAGGCACCAGGCTGGCTCTGTGTAGAGGGTGCGACTCTTGATCGTGGGGTCGTGACTTCAAGCCCCATGTTGGGCCTACAGCTTACTTAAAAAAAAAAAAAAGAAATGAATGGCAGACAATGGGAGACCCAGGAGCACTGAGCATATGTGTGTGAACAGTGCAAATCCAAAGTGGGTATGTCCAGATAGGCCATCCCAGCAGCTCATCTGGCCCCCTGCAGCATGAATAGAGGCACTGAAGGCCTAAGAGGTGCTGAGACCTATTTAATGCTATCAGCAGCCCTAGACCAGACACAAGCTCCCACCCCAGCTACAGCTCTCTGGCCACCTCCAGAGCTCCTTACAGCCCAGCCCAGTGAGCCACTAGCCGGGGGAGACTCAGGAGCCTGAGACCCTGGCACACCCTAACACACTCAGCACCCCCACACAATCTCAATCGTTCATTCAGCAATCTGTTATGGAGCACCAACTGCATGCCAAGAACTTTCCTAGGCCCTGGGGTCACCACAGTAAATAAGCCAGATAAAACCCCTGCCCTCGTAGAACTGAGTGCGAGCCCTGGGTTGTTAGCCCATTTGACCGATGTGAAACCAAGGCTCAGAGAGGTGACATAGCTTGCTCACAGCCACCAAGAGGAAGTGGCAAAGCCAGTGAGCACCACGCTTCTGGGGACAGGAGGCCTGGGCTCTGATAGCGTAGGCAAAGCTGCTGTCAAGGACTTCATTTCTCTGGGCCTCAGTTGACTACTTGCACTAGCACACAGGCCATGCCATGGCTCCCGACGCCCAGGGCTCAGATAGCTTGCAGGTCAACTAAAGCCAAGGGCCCAGCATGGCTGGATGCCACTTCCAGCTCGCCCTCGCTCTCTCCACGGCAGCCACCCTGGCCAACTCCACCAGGCACACTCTTGTCTTCATCCCTGCTGTCCTGTTCCCTAGAACAGCCTTGCCTAGCTAAGTGTGTGTCTCATTCCCTTGCCTCCTCTGGGCCTCCATCATCATCCCCTCCTCAGAGGCTCGCCCTCAGTCCCTACTGCTCACAACAGTACTCCTCATCACCTGAAATTGTTATGTCTGCTTCTCTGTTCACTGACCCCAGCCCCCACAGGAATGTGAACTCCACGAGGGCACCACATGTCCCAAGAACCTGGGACCCCAGGACAGCCCAGCAGACGACACACACTCAGTGAGTATTGACAGAATGAATGAATGTTGAGTATTACCTCACTATGTGACTTCCCATCCCTGAGCCTCAGCTTCTTCATCCATAAAGTGAGGCTATGACCAAGCCATGAATGCAGAGGCAGACTCAAGACTCGGCCTGGAGACTCGCCCCCAGGCAGCTTGCAGCTCCCCAGGCTGCTGCTGAAGGAGTCCACGAAACGGGCTTTTAAGGAGCTATTGGCCTGAGGCGGCCAGGTAGGGCTCAGCACGCCGGTGCCTCTGGCTGTAAAACCCCATACCTCTGCCTCCCCGGACACCATCTGCCAGGAGGAAAGCCAAGGCAGGAAGGGAGATACACAATCCAGGGACAAAAGTAGCCCCTTACCACGCTTATGGAGCCAGCCTTCTTTGATGACAGACACCTCGTTCATGGTGGCAGCGTGACACGCTGTCACCTAGCTTGGGACAGCCCAGGGCAGCAGGACATGCAGGAGGCGCGGTGGACAGAGCACAGTCTGTAAGATAAGAAAGGAGCTCATCAGAATGCAGGGGGGACCCCGCCTCGACCCCTTCCCTCGGGAAGGCCAGGCTCTCTGGCCCCTCTAGTGGCTCTGCTGGCACTGCACAGGGTGGAGTCACTGAGCACAGGGAGCCCCGCCCACTCAGCCCAGTCTTGGGCTTGTCCTCAGGGACTCCAAATGGGGACTGGGGTCTGGGGGTTGGGAAGGGGGTGGTTACCCTGCCCTCAGAGCCTCACTCCGGAGAGACAGAGCTCCCTGGCTCATGCAGGTCTCGCTGAGCAGAGGCAGCCCTTCCACCCACCTTCAGCCCACACTGGGCTGGAGGAAAGGGAGCTATGGCTCCACCCGGTGTCACTCCCAGGCCCCCACACTGAGGTAACTTGGGATGAATCAGACAGCCCTGGGCACCTGAGGGAGTGCTCAAAGCCACCAGCACCTGCCCGTCTCCCACTCTCCCCCCCCCCACATACACTCTCCACACTCCCAACCCACCACCCTCAGCAAACCAAGTGCCTGCGACCCCCTGCGTCAAGTCACCCTTCACTCCCTCAGCTTCAGTCCCCTCTTTGCCCCCACCAGATGACTGAGGGAAGGAGAGTCTCTGACACTCACGACACTCAGGATCTTGAACAAGACAGCAGCCTACTTGTCTGGGGCTTAGGAGGCAGTCCCGAGGGTCCAACCAAGGCCGTGGTCCCTTTCCCAAGACCTCCACTTCCGTCCCCAGGGACCAGCAGCCGACAGACTGACAGACGCCGAGGCCACTGCTTCGTCTCAGGTTCCCAGGGTGGAAGGGAGAAGGGCGGGAGGCAGCTGCGCGCTGGGCCCCTACCTGGAGCCACAGGCCTGGAAAGGGGCCATGGAGCCCAAGGCGCCTTTCGCCTTTCCTGGCCTGGGGTTATTTGCGGACAGCAGGTCAGGAGCTACGGTGGCCCCCAGAGAAGCAGCAGCTGGCTCTGGGGACACCGCGAGCATCGGCTTTCTCTCATGCCCCAGGGGAGCGGGTGGGCCGGACACACTACTGCCTGGCATGTGACGGTGGCAGGCTGCCCAGACCCAGGCAGGGAAGGGAGGTAAGTGGGAGGAAGCAAAAGGAAAGACAAGATGGACAGTGACAGGGAAGTAAACAGCGGGGTGAGAAATCACGTTCTGGACTCTGAGCTGCAAAGGCAGGGCCAGGAGCAGCACAGGGGTGCCCTCCTTCAGCAGGGATGACCAGCACTTGGGGGCTCAGGCTCCACGGGTGGAACCCCCAGGACCACGGACCCTCGAGCCTGAATACTCCACCAGCCTGCGCGTCCACCTCTAATGTGACCAGTCTCTGCACCTGCCCCACCCCACGCCCCGCCTCCTGCCCTCCCCAGCCCGCTCATTGGCAGGGGTCCAGCGCTGTCCTCTCGATCGGCGGCTCCCCACCCCCTTCCATCCGTCCCTGTTCGCCAGCCAGACCCCCTCGAACCTGACCCAGTCCTTCCCCCACTCAAAACCCTCCCGTGGCTTCCCGCTGGCCTCGGGAAAGAGCCAAGCTCCCTTGCTTGGGATTCAAGGCCCTTCAGGACCCGGCCTCTGCTGACCTTCACTCCAGCTGCCTCCCGCCCCTGCTCAGCTCAGCAGTCCCCACTGTCCATCCACCTGCTTCCTGACACCTCTCCCAACTGCCCTAGCCTTCTCCCCAGGCTCTGAGTCTCTGCTCTCAAAGCAAATACTCCATCTAAATCTTAAATCTGGCCCCATCCCCCCAAGTTAAAAACCTTTCCAGGGTTCCTCAGTGTGCTCAGACACAGAACAAAGTCCTTTCCACCACAAGCCTAACATCACCTAGAAAGTTCTCTATTGAACTTTAATGACTGTGACAATAATTATTACACCCGGTACTACCTACGTCTCCGGCCCCTCCTCCTCACCCCCCTCTCTCCTGTCTCTCAGGTCCATCCCTCTGGCCTCCATCCCTGGTACCTCCGGTCTCTCCTCGAGGTCTCAGCCAAAGCCGCCTCCAGGAAGCCTTTCTGAACTAGGGCTGCTTGGGTGTTCTCTGTGCACCTCCTCAGCCCATTCTCCCACCACCCATTAAGTGCTAATTTAGTGGACCAGCACAGCACCTGAATCTCTGCCGAGTACATAATGAATGAACCCAAGTCTCCCCAACCCAGGACCAGACAGCCACAGAAACATTTCCAGAGTCTATTCACTCCACCAATCTCCTTTGAGTGTGTCCCTAAGGTCCAGACAATGCACCGGGTACCAGAGATGAATCATCAGGAAGACACAGCCCCTGCCGTCACGGAGCTCACATCCCGGTGGAGGAGGCAGACAAGACTCAAGTACACGTGTAACAATGTCAGGTGGTGGGGAGGTGCTGTCGTACGGGGAACATGTGAGGAGGGAGGGAGCCATGCTGCCATGTAGGGAAAAGAATTTCAGACAGGGGAAGAGCACGTGCAAAGCCACTGGGGCAGGAAGTACTTGTAGATCTTGAAGAACTACCAAGGGGCCAGTGTGGCTAAGGAGCCAGGAGAGGTAGGCAGGAAGAACACTTAAGGCCCGGCATGAGGTGGTGGTGGGAAGTTTGAGAAGTCTTCCCTGACAGGGGCTAATGCTGCGCTTTCCCTGGTACCAGCTCCGTTCAGAGGTCCCAAAGAACCAGGATGGAGAACACAAATCAAAGGAAGGGTGGACATGGAAGGACAGGACCGGGGCCTGGTGTCCAATCTTGGCTCTCCCCTCCCATCCCCAGCCCTGCGGCCGAGATTCTGCTTGTCTTGGGATAGTAAGCGGCACTGAAGCACCCACTGTGTGCAGAGGCTCAGCCTCGGGCCTGGCCTGCCCCCCGGGGAACACCCGAACACGTGGGTGAACACTCAAACACGTAAGCTGCTGCCGTGATCAGAGAGAAGCAAAGGCAGCCAGGTGTGGCCAAGAGCGGCCAGGATTGCAGAGCCCGAGAGCCACTGCCAGCTGGGTGGCCTTGAGAGAGTAGGGTGCCGGTGCCCTCGTGGAGTCTCTCCTGAATGATCCCAGCCACCCAACCAGAGGGGCAGTGACCATGCCCTAGGGAGGGCGGAAGCCATTTACCTTGGGTCTCCCAGCTGGGGAGTGGCGGAAGCCCTGGCCACTGCTCGGCACCTCGGGGCCACTTTTTACAATCTCATTTCGGCAGCTAAGACGCCAGCGCCAGCGCAGCTTGAGTGAGGGCAGGGGGAGGAACTGGAAGATCCCCCTTGCCCCGCCTGAATCCCGCCCCGTCCGTCCTCCAGCTGAGGGTGGCGCCTGGGCTGAGGTGTCTGTGACGCAGTCCTGAGGTGATGAAACACCATGCACCAAAGCCAAGAGGATGGCCTGCTCCCTGGGGAGCTGCCGCTGGAGGACGCCCAGGCGGGAGGACAGAGAACAGCCTCTGGAAGCCAGGTGTCAGCACGCAGGGGCCTGCAGGCAGCACACCCCATGGTGGGGAGGGCCTGGGTGGCCCCATCCCCACACACTGCTTCCCTGAAGTGTCCAGGCCAGAGTGAGCTGAGGGCCTGGGCCAGAGCTGCAGCTTGTAGGCTTGAGGTGAGCCCCCTGGGAGGCATGGGGAAAAGAGCAAGGGCACTTTGCAAGAGAGGGTACCCACGCTACCAAGGAACACACACAATCCCATTATTTAGGGGGAAACGTAAATTAAAATCATCCACCAGGATGGCTGAAATTTTAAAAACTGACAGCACCAAGTGTTGACAAAGATACAAAGGAATACTGGTGAAGTCTAAAATGGTTCAACCACCATGGAATATTGCTTGGCAATAAAAATTAAAAGTCAATATGCACCCACACGCCACAAACCAGTAATTACACACACACACACACACACACACACACACACTCCAACAGAAAAGAGCGTGTTCATTTATCAAAGGACATATGCTAGAATGTTCACAGCAACAATACTCACAGTGACCCCCAAACTGGAAACAGACCGAGTGTCTACCCACAGGAGAATGGATAAAACAGATATATTCATACAGCAGAACATTACTCCACCAAGTACAGACAGACTACAGGGACAAACTGTAAGAGGGGTACCATGAAATCAAAGAAGCCAGACACACAACACTACATCAAGTGTGGGTCCAGTCATAGTTAAGTTCGGAACAGGCAACACCACACTATGTGTTTAGGGCTACTTTCTCGCTTATAAAACTGTGCACAACATCAAGGAAACAGATTTGCAGAAGTCAGAAGAGTGGGCAGCTTTAGGAGCAATGGAGGGGGGATTTCTGGGAGCTGGTGTGTTCTGTTGTGGTTACACAGGGCTCTGCTCTATAGCCCTTTGTTACACTGCACCACACAAGATGGTTTTATTTTTTAAGATTGATTTATTTAGGGCAGCCCGGGTGGCTCAGTGGTTTAGTGCCACCTTTGGCCCAGGGCGGGATCCTGGAGACCCAGGTTCGAGTCCCCCATTGGGCTCCCTGCATGGGGCCTGCTTCTCCCTCTGCCTGTGTCTTGGCCTCTCTCTCTCTCTCTCTCTCTCTCTCTGTTTCTCATGGATAAATAAAATCTTAAAAAAAAAAAAAAGACATTTGTATTCCCACCTATCTATCTCATAAGTATTAGTTAACTACTCAATAGACTCCAAGCTGCAGCTCCTTCAGAAGCTTCAGTTCACAGTATTGGGAGTCAGATCCATGAGAGGCAACTTATAGGAAGATGCAGGGCCACGGGGGGCCAGGGTCAGGGGTGTCCTCATGACAGCACTGGGAAGGGACTGGGTCCTGGGAAGGGTCCCTCCAAAACGGCTTCCTCATCTGTAAAATTAGGCTTATGTGGTTCCTGAGGGGGAGAGAGGGCCGTGAAGACTCACTGAGCTCTAGTGCTTCTGTCCTTACCCCTCTAGGACACTGTAACCACCTGAGTCTGAGCCCATGCCTCCTGTGCTCAAACCCCCCCAGTGTCTCCATCTCACCCAGAATAAAAGCCAGAGTTCTCACAGGAGCCTCAGGACTGTATGAGGTCCA